TGTTAAAGCTCTGCAACACAAGGTATATATGGGAAATGAAAACAAATGTTTTCTCTCTTGTAACAGTTTTCAGGCTTTTAGAAATAATATACAACAATGTGTTAAGAACAACAACAACAAAAAAATGAAACAAAAACAAAAACCCATATATTTCATATCTCTCTCTGTTGCCTGTAAGTCATTTTTTCAGCTCAGGACCAGAGTGAGGAACTACTGGCCTCAATCAGTCCAGTTCACTGTAATGATGTCAGGCAATAGAAGAACCCTCAAAAACATACAGCACATTCTCCATCAAGCTGAAGAACTTCATGATGCAAAGAGCCCTTTAATGATGCAAAAGGTTCTTTGAGTGTTCTATATAGAACCATATAAAACAATTTTCTTTACTAAAGTGTGGGATCAGTGGTTTTCAACTTTATTCCTGTGGATCCTCCACTCTGCATGTGTTTCTTTCTCCAGCACTCCTGATCCAGCCCATGAGTGACTTGATAATGACCTGATCGGCTTGTATAAGATGGATTGGGGCAGGTAATAGTCTAATGGACTGTTGTCGTATGTTCACTAAGCTGACCTTTAATCATGTGTTACAAAAAAGCTAGCAGTCACTGAGCAGGTTGCATTTGTAACCAAAGAATTCACTCACATGGCAGAAAAAAGTAGAATTAGATAAAATAAAGTCCATGAGACTTTATGAAAGTGAAGAGTAACTGGTAAGATGTATTTAAAATTGTTCTTTGTTATTCATATATGATGCAGCCATTCTCTATTGCTGCAGTGCCCCTCTGCATGGTGAAGAAAACTGCAGTACCCTCAGTACAACAGCAGAGGACTCCTGTCAGAAGACACAGCATGATGCTTTATTCATGACTGTGTGCATGTACATCTGTGCATGTGCTAGATAAAGACGTAAAAAAAGACAGGCATGTCTACAGCTTTAATCCCTCAACACTGCACCAGTACTGATGTCACCTAACATATATGAACTACAGTGCTTGCACAAATGTAACATCATTATCTGCTGGTAACTGAAGAAATGACCGTTTGTTTGTCTGTGTGATCAGTCTTAAACTGTGAAGGGGACAACACCCATCCTGATCACACACATATCCACACCCATTCACACACCCTTCCCCCATCACATTAGCCTAGAATCTCAGGCTACTGTACCACATCATCCAGTCCAGGGGTATCTCATCTTCCCCAGCATCTCTCTCTTTCCCTCATACCACATCATTCAGGTCTGAGCCTCTCACTGCCCCCCTGTGGACTCTGACATAATGGTACAGCCCTGCCTGTGAGTCAGCTTGTTGCTGTGGCAACACATGGCAGGATGAAAATGGGCTAGGAGATGAAAAAAGAAAATAATGTGAAGAAAAAGGGGAAGAAGGCTGAGAAAAAGATGGATAAGCATGTGGCACACAAAACCATTGTGCAAAGTTGTGTTGTGTGCCAGTATAGTACCACATTTCTCTAAACAATGATATATTAGACTATCATAACAATCAATAGTACACTGTTTCTGTTATCTTGGTACCCAAAAACACTGTGTTGGCACTGAAGGAAGACGATACAACAGCAAGACTGTCTTATTCAGAAATCTGACTCAGATTACAGTGAATTGACGCATGTGTATTTTTAGCCCATTTTGCTCCAATTGAAAGGGCGAGCAGCCCAATGCACACAGCACAAAGACTGCAGAGTGGTGCAGCTGGAGAGGGGGAGGGGAAGGACAGACAGAAAGAGAGAGAGAGATGGAGAGCACTGCTCCTGAAAACTGGAAAATAGGCTGATACCATCTCACTCAAAACAGTAGCACGCATTACTACATCTATAATTGTATTAGGATTTTAATAATTATATTAATATTAAGAAAATGCACTTATTATTTGCCATTTTAACCTGTTCACTGACCTTACATGATTCAGCAATCCATTCTTATTCACAGCGCTACTGTGATTTTTGAGTCAGACACACATGACCTAGTTTCATCAGAAGGTAAAAAACAAGCCAGAGAAAAATGTGTCTCACATCAGACACACAAAATATAATTTGTTGTTGTTCATGTATGTGTGTGTGTGTGTGTGTGTGTTTTGTGTGTGTGTGTGTGTGTGTGTGTGTGTGTGTGGTGGGTGGGAGTGTATGTGTCATGTGACTTATGTCCATGTGTCTGTGTGCCCTACTGTCTCACTGGCCTCGATAAAGCTAAAGTAATCCCTTCAGAGGATCAGCACACAGCACAGGAGACACAGTAAAGAAACACCCACCCACACTCACTCACACTGAGATCTAGAAAACAGTAAAGCACAACAGAGCAACGTGTAACATGTGTAAAATTACTGTAATTAAGTGGCAGTATCTCCAATATGGTGCTTTCTGTTAAATACAGCAATAAATTGTTTACCACACACCCAAACTCACATGACTTGCACTTATGCCAGTCTTTAAGATCACATATATATAGCTCAATTTTTCCAGCAGTCTACTATAGTTAAGGAATATGTTTAGATTACTGAAGAATTACCAATGTAAACTTACAGTAATTCTCTACAGTGTGTATGTGTGTGTGTTTGTGTGTGAACTGAGTCTGAGGATTGTCCTTCTTTAATCTGTATTAAGGGCCACACCTGGTCAGAAAGCACAGGACAGACGAGGACAGAAAAGGCTCTGCAGCAGAAAGAACAGTCCTATCGTCAACATTACAGGCAGAAAAAAACAGAGCATGCCCCAGTGATGATGGCAAGAGAAGGGAAAAATACAAACTAACGTAATCTTTGAAAAAAACTCTTAATAAAGTGTCCAAAAATAAATTATTGGCCAATGATGCGCCAAAGACACAAGATTAGAAATAAAGAAACTAGTAATCTCTTGATCTTGCAAGTACTGGCCGGATATTGCTGGTCAGTGTGCTCATCTGATCAATACAGTCAATATTCCTAAACTAAGTATGTGGCAAATCAATCACAAATACAATACAGGCAGCATACAAGGGCAGAACATACTCAGAGTATCACACACATAGCACATTCATGTTGCCTTAGGAAGCAGGGCTTTCCAAAAACAACCAAATATTCCTGTTTAGATCATCTGCTTCATAGTCATCACAGTGGATCAGTCATTGTCAGATTAAAATGAACATCTCCTCAGTGTACAGTAAGCAATATCTTTAAAACACAACTACTAGGCCACTTTTTGATGGTTTCATTGCTAATTTTACAGCTCTCAATTACATTGTTGATTTCATGAACTCAGGTGAACTCCTAATCCTGTTAGTTTAATGTAAGATTATACCATAAGACAGAGGGAGGATTTCTTTCTCTCTTAAAAACAGGACATTTACCGTAGAACCAAAGAAATACACTCAATGTGAATTCATGTGAATTAAGAAGGTGCAAAATTTGATTTTGTTTGTATTAAGGACAAATTGTCACCTAGTCAAAGAAGCTATGTGGACATGCAGCATGTTTGAATTACAGAACATTACAGAAGGAAGATAAGACCAAACAAGAATACTTCCTTGGACCACACATAAACAAAGGCATCTGTTTGTCATTAGATTGTTTGTCATTAAAACCTGTCTGGGAAAGGAAACACAATTACAACAACATTGCTATTTATTCATAGAGCACAACGTCAGCCTATACTTGGTGGCCTTAACTTTTTCATAGGCATGGAATAGACTCAGAAAGCTTTCAAGTGATAGGTGGAGCTGATATCAGTGATCAGAGACACTCAAAAGCATGAAGATTTACACTGTGCAGTAAAAAGTAGTTTCACTAATGAACGTTTCTGGAAACTGCAGATTAGTGTCTAAAACAGAGCTAAAGTGAACCCAGATGTGAGGAAGTGTATTGCTGGGAGGTCATAGGTTAACACACACACACACACACACACACACACACACACACACACACATACAATTCATGAGTGTTTATTTATGAATGTGTTCTAGTGAACAATTTCAAACATAACACAAAAGCATACACCTTCATTCTATGTCCAAAACGTTGCTATTACTCCACAAGTTCAACACAGACCTATTCAGTTTAAACATGATAGAGAGGGAATTTAATGCAGTAGAATCTGCGCTACTGTTTGTAGGACTCAAAATGCCAAAATAAGCCTCACAAGATGATAAGAAACAGAGATAGGTCGCTATTCATAGAAGCAACACTTCCGCCATATACTGTACCCTCATGAAAGTCAGTGAGATGCTAAAATTTAATCCACATGGGTTCCTTCCTGTATAAAACGAGTGCCACATCTGACTGCCACATGAGCCTTCTACTTCACTTCCACTGACTCTCCAAAGCACCAGCAACAAAGGGGCTGATGCCGATAAGACCTGCTTTAAACTGGCTGCCTGTGGTGCAAGATGCCAAATGAATACAATATGCCAGCTATGCAATGGTGTAGTAGCTAACTGTTCTCACTCATTCACCATACACACATGAGCAAAAGGGCAAAAGGGCTTCTTTTTTTAACATAGGCCACTTTAAAAGCTCACAGAGCTATAAAACACTTAGAAATGGTCACAGACCATTATTGTTGCTAATGGCCACAACCTCAGACCACAATGGGACAGCATTGACAATTTGATTCTATCAATTATACAAAACAACTTTACAGTGAAAAATATTTATGTTTCATATTGCATTAGCTAAATCAGTGGATCTGTCAATACCAGCTTGTGTTCTAACTTGAAAAAAAAAAACAAAAACAAGTACGAAACTATAACTGGGGCAGTACCCATTTTTTCAGTGGGGTGGGACCCTCAAGGGTACATCTCAGTACCTTTAGTCAGGGAACATAATTGTACAATAATCCACTGACATTATATTTTCTAAGTTGTATTGACTGCACACATCCCGTCTCATCTCCAGGGTTATTTCATTGTTCTATTTTAAAACATTAGGTTATGAAAACGTACAAATATGTACTTTTCACCTGGAAAAAACTTATTTAAGGTGCACAATTGGACCTTAAATCCACTGTCATACCTTTGAAGGTACATTTACATTGTTTATACCTTGAAGAAATGTACCTGTAGCGTGTGGTTATTAAAAAATACAAAAAACAAAATGATCATGTGACTGAAAAATAAAAAGCCCATAGACTAACTGGAATATCGCTTGCGCTAACTGCTAAATCATGGAGATTATCACAAGTTGAAAAGGTATTTTAAGGGGTGCTTCAAAAGAATAACAATGTAATAGTATGAATTCTCTTTGAAAAGTATTTTTTTTTTTTAAATAAGCACATGTCTGTGAAAGGCCTACTTGCCAGTTAAGTTAGATTTGAGAGAGAGAGAGACAGAGAGAGAGAGAGAGAGAGAGAGCGCAGGGTGGTGAAACGCAGATTTGCACGAACAGGCCTGAGTCATCCTCTTTCTCCCAGAATAGAGCAGCTCCCAGGATGCTCATCTTAATTCAGCCAAACTCACTCAGGAACACCAGTATGCACTTGCAAAAGTCCTTAACCTGACATTAGCAAACATCCAGCATGCTAACAAGGACGCTAACTGCAGCACATCATTTGCAGTGAATATATGTTTCAAGCTTTACCAAACATATTCATATATATTATTTCACCTTCATATCACACTGCCAGTGCCCTTCCACGTACTTACAAATCTGCACGCTATGGCACTGGTTTTAAATAGAAGTTAGGGCGTCTAAATGCATTTTCCCAGAGCACAACTAAGGGTGAAAAAATTTAAACCGAGAGTGCAGTGCATGCTTTTGCACCCCTTTGGAACCAGGCCTGCAGAGGTGAACAGATAGTGAGAAAAGATAACCTCGCTCAAACTGTTCCTCCCACCCCTCTGTCTCCATCTCTTCTGTTTGGATCCATCTCAGCCCACCCATGCCTTGCTACGCAGGTGCAGGGAATGAGGCCATACTGCTCAAAATGGCTGCACCAGCATCTCACTGCAGTAGCTGTAGAGATCACTGGTACACAGTATAAATCAGTATGTGCTCTTTCTCTCTCTCGCCATCAACATTAACACTATATGGAAGTATTACTCAGAGTACACTGATGCAGCTCTCGTCCTGTATCTCTCTCTCTTTCCCCTTTCTCCTTATTTTTGTTTTGCTTCTTTATATCATATTGGGTCTCAGCAATACATGGAATTAAGTTGTCATTTTACTTTTTAAGGAATTCTATATGCATACCTATGTTAAGCTCAAGTACCCCTTGCAAAACCAATACATACCTCGGCATCAACATCCGGGTCAACCGCGTGTTTGTTTTGCCTAGGCACAGTCCTCGTGCCACCGAGGTCAACACTCAAGACACTCTGACTGGAAGAACGTACGAATTTCATGTCGCTCTTCCTGGAGTCAGCTGTCCCACACAGCTCGTAGTTATACACATGCTGTAAAGTCCCCGTCCCTCCTACGTCTGCGTAAAGGGGTGGATAATATGGAATAACTGGCAGATTGGCACCTGATTTATAAAACATCCGCTCACGTCTCCATCTGTAGCATTTGACTGACAGTATGGCTATGATGGAGACGATAAAGAGAAATGAAACTACAGCCAAGGCCAAGACTAGATAGAAAGTCAGGTTGTCGTTGTAATCCTTGTCGTGCGTAAAGTCAGTGAACTCCGAGAGCACTTCAGGGAAACTGTCCGCCACCGCCACGTTAATATTGACCGTAGCTGAACGAGAGGGCTGCCCGTTGTCCTCCACTACAACAGTGAGCTTCTGCTTCACAGCATCTTTATCGGTCACTTGGCGCACAGTTCTTATTTCTCCATTCTGTGCGCCCACTTCAAACAGCGCCCTGTCTGTGGCTTTCTGCAGTTTATATGAGAGCCAGGCATTCTGTCCAGAGTCCACATCAACAGCCACCACTTTAGTCACGAGATAGCCCACATCTGCTGAGCGAGGCACCATTTCAGCCACCACAGAGCCCCCAGTCTGGACTGGGTACAGAACCTGAGGCGCGTTGTCGTTCTGGTCCTGAATGATAAAGTTCACGGTGGCGTTGGCGCTGAGAGGAGGTGAACCGCCATCTTGCGCTTTAACAGTAACGCTGAATGACTTTATTTGCTCGTAATCGAAGGACTTCAGTGCGTAAATCATCCCACTCCCCGCATCAATCGACACTAAAGAGGATGTAAGCGCTCCGTTTAAATCTTTATCGATAATGAAGTAAGAAATACGCGCGTTCGCCCCCAAGTCTGCGTCATTCGCCTTTACGCTGAGCAAAGACAAAGAGGGAGAGTTATTCTCCGTCACGTACGCAGTATATGTCTCGTGTTCAAACTGAGGCGAATGATCGTTTATGTCTGAAATCTTCACTGACAATGTTTTTGTAGTAGACAAAGGCGGGCGACCGCCATCTTTTGCTGTAATTGTAATGTTATATTCTGCCATTTGCTCTCTGTCTAGGCTGGAGTCGGTCACTATGCTGTAGTAATTGTTCAGAGATGATTCAGTCCTGAATGGCAGGCTTCTGTCAATCGAACAGGTAACCTTTCCGTTTTCCTCAGAATCGCTGTCTTGCACATTGATCATTGCTACAACGGTGCCTGGGGGCGAGTTTTCGGGCAGTGTATTGGAAAAGGACATTAGCGTGATTTTAGGTGTATTATCATTTACATCAGTCACTTCTATGACCACCTCAGCGGAATCAGATAAACCCCCCTGGTCCTTTGCTTGAATTTTAAACTCATGAACAGTGGCCTCTTCAAAGTCAAGCTCCCCAGCGAGCCTAATCTCACCAGTGGATGCATCAATGGAAAATAGGTCTCTGATTTTAGGCGTTGTGTGTTCAAAGTAATAACCAACGTGTGCATTAGAGACGGTATCTGCATCAGTAGCGTTCACTGTAAGCAGTAATGCTCCCTGTGCTGTGTTTTCAGGCACAGAGACCCTATAAGAATGCTTTGGGAATAGAGGGGCATTGTCATTGCTATCTAAAACAACAATATGGATTTTTACAGTACCAGAGCGTTTAGGGTTGCCTCCATCAGTAGCAGTTATCGTTAGATACAGCTGTTCTTCTTTCTCTCTGTCCAACTGGGACTGCAGAACAAGTTCAACGTTTTTACCACTACCCGCGCGGCTCTGTGTTTTCAGGCTGAAGTGGTCAGTGGGGTGAATAGAGTAGCTCTGAATGCCGTTCAATCCCACATCAGGGTCGAGCGCACTGTCCACGGAAAAGCGCGCGCCAACAGAGGCTGACTCGCTTATTTCCAGCTTAATCTCTCCCCGTGGAAATGCAGGACTGTTATCGTTAACATCTAATATCTCCACGGTGACCCTATAGAGCTCTATGGGATTCTCCAGAATAATCTCGAAGCTGATGCTGCACGTAGACATGGCGCTCGAGCAGAGGAGCTCGCGATCCATTCTCTCCTTCACGATGATATGTCCTTTGTCCCTATCCAGCTCCACATACTCACGCCCACTTGCTGTGAAGATCCGAGCCTTACCCGTGGTCAAGCGTTTAGGTTCCAGACCCAGATCTTTCACGATGTCTCCGACAAAAGAACCGGGAGGCATTTCCTCAGGCACGGAGTAACGGACCTGCCCTGATGCGCTCTGGAGTAAATGCGCGCAGACAAAAAGCACCCAGGATAGCCGCGCGAGAGAGCCGTTTTTATCCATTACGCCGCGGTATCTCTCTCAAGATTGATATCCAATATCTAATAGCTTGTACGTTAAAAAACACGTAGTGCATCCATTATTAAATAGGAAACAAATATGCACAAAGATGAGAGCGTCAGGAAAGATTAGAGTCCTGCCAGTGTACAAAATGAAATGGGCAACCATGACCGTAGACATGCGCAAAAGGCACGAAAATGGGAGGCGCAGAATATGTATAGATCAGAAAAATCAAGCCCACTAACCAACAGCGACGCTCAGGGATCAGAATAGGAACTACACACGACCTGACTCAGCTTAGAGAAAGTGTAGTGATCATCTGTGTTGAACATGGTTGGATGTCACAAATGAACACTCTAAAACGCACGAAATGAATGTAGCAAAGTCTATTCATGCCTGTGTGTAGCGTGGAGTAGTGGTGTACATCTCTGTGTACATCTAAAAAATAAAAAGTAGTTTTTCGTTTGAATTTTTAAGTTTTAAAAAAAGTTTAAAACGTTTTTAGTTAAATAATTTCATAATAGTTTCTTTAAATCCAAAATTTTTGTAGTTAAATTGCCACCTGCATTGACACCGGTATTGCAGTTTCCAGCTCTCTGAGAAAAAAAAAAGCAAAAGGAAGACGATAGATAGATAGATAGATAGATAGACAGATAGACAGAACAATTAAAGCAGTCTAAGGTCAGTGATTTCACGGATCCAACCTCACCTGAATCTCTGATTCTCCAAGTGACTGATTATGCTCTTGTACACGCAGCAGCGTTTGAGTTCCACTTGTTTCCAGGCTAATGATGCTCTGACTACCTGGCCTGACGTACTTCATATCACTCTTTCTAGAGTCAGCTGTCCCACACATCTCGTAATTAAACGCTTGCTTTAAAGTCCCCGTCCCTCCTACGTCTGCGTAAAGGGGTGGATAATATGGAATAACTGGCAGATTGGCACCTGATTTATAAAACATCCGCTCACGTCTCCATCTGTAGCATTTGACTGACAGTATGGCTATGATGGAGACGATAAAGAGAAATGAAACTACAGCCAAGGCCAAGACTAGATAGAAAGTCAGGTTGTCGTTGTAATCCTTGTCGTGCGTGAAGTCAGTGAACTCCGAGAGCACTTCAGGGAAACTGTCCGCCACCGCCACGTTAATATTGACCGTAGCTGAACGAGAGGGCTGCCCGTTGTCCTCCACTACAACAGTGAGCTTCTGCTTCACAGCATCTTTATCGGTCACTTGGCGCACAGTTCTTATTTCTCCATTCTGTGCGCCCACTTCAAACAGCGCCCTGTCTGTGGCTTTCTGCAGTTTATATGAGAGCCAGGCATTCTGTCCAGAGTCCACATCAACAGCCACCACTTTAGTCACGAGATAGCCCACATCTGCTGAGCGAGGCACCATTTCAGCCACCACAGAGCCCCCAGTCTGGACTGGGTACAGAACCTGAGGCGCGTTGTCGTTCTGGTCCTGAATGATGATCTTCACACTCACATTGCTACTAAGAGGTGGGTTTCCTCCGTCCTGCGCTTTTAGGCGGATATTAAACTCTTTTGTTTGCTCGTAATCAAAAGAGCGAACAGCCAGAATCTCTCCGCTCTCTGCATGAACTGAAATATAAGTGGAGGCTGAAACTCCATTAACGAGAACATCCTCAAGAAAATATGAAATGCGCGCATTGTTACCAGAGTCTTTATCACTTGCTGTGACTGCAAATATAGACACTCCAGGTGTGTTATTTTCCATCACATAAGCGGTGTAAGACTGACGCTGGAACACAGGGGCGTTGTCATTGACATCCGATATTTTAAGCTGCAGTGTTTTATTAGTAGAGAATGAAGGTGAGCCCTCATCAGTAGCTCTGATTGTTATATTATATTCTGAAACCTTCTCACGATCTAAAAACTGATCTGTGACCAAACTATAGAAATTAGAGGAGGATGATTTGATGCGAAATGGTAAATCTGAATTCACTGAACATTTAATCTGTCCGTTTTTACCGGAGTCTATATCTTTAATATTGAGCATCGCTATAACAGTCTCCGGGGCGGAGTCCTCTGGGATGGGATTGGAAAAAGAGATAACACTGATAACAGGAGCATTGTCATTTACATCAGTGATCTCAACCAGCACTTTACTGGTATCAGTTAACCCGTCCTTATCCATTGCTTTGACATTCAGTTCGTACTGTTTGGATTTTTCATAATCTAAGATATCATTTACTCGAATGTCTCCTGTGTTTGGATCTATGGTGAAAAACTCCATAGCTTTTCCGGTGCTCTGCGAAAATGAATATGTAACCTCACCGTTAGGTCCCTGATCCTTATCTGTAGCTCTTACAGTCACTACTATACTGTTCTTGGGAACATTTTCTGGTAAAGACACTCGGTAAACTGGCTGACTGAAAACAGGAGGATTGTCGTTTGCATCAATAACAATGACGGTTATTTTAACTGTTCCAGATTTCTGAGGAGAGCCTCCATCAAACGCTGTCAGAATTAATTTATGCTCTTCTTGTTGCTCTCTGTCTAAAGGTGTTTTTAATTCCATCTCAACATACTTGGTGCCGTCATTACGCGACAATTCTTTCAAAGTGAAATGATCTGTTGGATTCAGAGTGTATCTCTGCAGTGTGTTCTGTCCTACGTCTGGATCATGCGCACTCTCTAATGAAAACAGTGAACCTGCGACCATAGATTCCTTAATTTCAATACTGATGTCTTTCTTATTAAAAACAGGAGCATGATCATTAATATCTAATATTTCTACATCAATTCTGTGCAGCTCCATCGGGTTTTCTAGAATGATCTGGAAATGTAAGGAGCATGGAGTGACCTGGGCGCACAGCTCCTCTCTATCTATCCTCTCTCTCACTACCAGAGTCCCTTTATCCACATTTAGACCGATGTACTCACGACTGTCCTCCGTGAAGATCCGCGCTCGACCAGATTTCAGTCTTTTAACATCCAAACCGAGATCCTGAACGATATTTCCCACAACAGAGCCCTTATTCATCTCCTCAGGAGTGGAGTAACGGACCTGCCCGCGCGCAACGGTCAGAACAAAGACAAACAGGACGAGAAACTGCATCAGCCGTCGACAAACACGAGAGATGGAGCCTGTGTTCCGGGCGTTATGAGAACAAAGGACATCCATGATGGAAATCGTTCAATACAGCTTCGAATATGAGAAAAACGCGAATCAAAATGAATATTATTGTATGTAATAGCAAGTAATGCTCGTATCTGCGCGCACACTGGAGTATCAATCTGAAATGAAGAACAATTTTTCTTCATGCATGATGTCAGAATGTGGAGGAGGATCCACAAATGAGCTTCAAAAACCTGCACACACTGACCAACAGCGGCACTCAGAGCACTGAAAGAAAATTACAACGAAAAACAAAATTTGTGGAAATATCTGAAATTAACAATTATGGAACGGATAGACAGCTAACATTTAAAATAATAACTAAAAATAATAATAATAATAAAAAGAATAATGATGTTGTCCTTGAAAAAGCCAACAGTTTGGTATAAAATAATAATAAGAAGATTAAGATTAAGAATAAGAATAATGAGAATAATGTTAATGAATGAAAATGAAATAAACATAATAAATACTTACTCTGTGAAATATGACCATACAGTTAAACACCTCAGTGCTATACTAAACCATAATAGTGTTAAATACTTTGTAGCAGCTCTAAAACGTTTGTCAGTTACTAAATCTCACCTGATCCTCCGACTCATGGTTCAGTTTCTGCTTCTGCGCATGCGTGAGTGTTTGCGTTCCACTGGTGTCCAAGCTAATGATGCTCTCACTGGAAGGTCTGGCATATTTCAGATCACTCTTTCTGGAGTCAGTCGTTCTGCAGACCTCATAATTATACACATGCTGTAAAGTCCCCGTCCCTCCTACGTCTGCGTAAAGGGGTGGGTAATATGGAATAACTGGCAGATTGGCACCTGATTTATAAAACATCCGCTCACGTCTCCATCTGTAGCATTTGACTGACAGTATGGCTATGATGGAGACGATAAAGAGAAATGAAACTACAGCCAAGGCCAAGACTAGATAGAAAGTCAGGTTGTCGTTGTAATCCTTGTCGTGCGTGAAGTCAGTGAACTCCGAGAGCACTTCAGGGAAACTGTCCGCCACCGCCACGTTAATATTGACCGTAGCTGAACGAGAGGGCTGCCCGTTGTCCTCCACTACAACAGTGAGCTTCTGCTTCACAGCATCTTTATCGGTCACTTGGCGCACAGTTCTTATTTCTCCATTCTGTGCGCCCACTTCAAACAGCGCCCTGTCTGTGGCTTTCTGCAGTTTATATGAGAGCCAGGCATTCTGTCCAGAGTCCACATCAACAGCCACCACTTTAGTCACGAGATAGCCCACATCTGCTGAACGAGGCACCATTTCAGCCACCACAGAGCCCCCAGTCTGGACTGGGTACAGAACCTGAGGCGCGTTGTCGTTCTGGTCCTGAATGATGATCTTCACACTCACATTGCTACTGAGAGGTGGGTTTCCTCCGTCCTGCGCTTTTACGCGGATATTAAACTCTTTTGTTTGCTCGTAATCAAAAGAACGAACAGCCAGAATCTCTCCGCTCTCTGCATGAACTGAAATATAAGTGGAGGCTGAAACTCCATTAACGAGAACATCCTCAAGAAAATATGAAATGCGCGCATTGTTACCAGAGTCTTTATCACTTGCTGTAACTGCAAATATAGACACTCCAGGTGTGTTATTTTCCATCACATAAGCGGTGTAAGACTGACGCTGGAACACAGGGGCGTTGTCATTGACATCCGATATTTTAAGCTGCAGTGTTTTATTAGTAGAGAATGAAGGTGAGCCCTCATCAGTAGCTCTGATTGTTATATTATATTCTGAAACCTTCTCACGATCTAAATACTGATCGGTGACCAAACTATAGAAATTAGAGGAGGATGATTTGATGCGAAATGGTAAATCTGAATTCACTGAACATTTAATCTGTCCGTTTTTACCGGAGTCTATATCTTTAATATTGAGCATCGCTATAACAGTCTCCGGGGCGGAGTCCTCTGGGATGGGGTTGGAAAAAGAGATAACACTGATAACAGGAGCATTGTCATTTACATCAGTGATCTCAACCAGCACTTTACTGGTATCAGTCAGCCCCCATTTATCCCTTGCCTCAACATTCAATTCATACTGTTTGGATTTTTCATAATCCAAAGGACTATTAACTTTCATTTCTCCAGTATAAGAATCAATACTGAACAAGCCTATAGCCTCTATTCCGGTGCTTTGCGAAAATGAATAAGTGACCTCACCATTCGCTCCTTGATCCTTGTCTGTAGCACTTACAGTCACTACTATACTGTTCTTGGGAACATTTTCTGGTAAAGACACTCGGTAAACTGGCTGACTGAACACGGGAGGATTGTCGTTTGCATCAATAACAATGACGGTTATTTTAACTGTTCCAGATTTCTGAGGAGAGCCTCCATCAAATGCTGTCAGAATTAATTTATGCTCTTCTTGTTGCTCTCTGTCTAAAGCTGTCTGTAACACCATCTCAACATACTTGGTGCCGTCATTACGCGACAATTCTTTCAAAGTGAAATGATCTGTTGGATTCAGAGTGTATCTCTGCAATGCGTTTAAACCTACATCAGGGTCACGCGCACTTTCTAAAGAAAACCGAGCACCAGGGACGGCTGACTCACTTATGTCAAAATCAATTTCCTTTCTTGCAAAAACAGGAGCATGATCATTAATATCTAATATTTCCACATCAATTCTGTGCAGCTCCATCGGGTTTTCTAGAATGATCTGGAAGTGTAAGGAGCATGGAGTGACCTGGGCGCACAGCTCCTCTCTATCTATCCTCTCTCTCACTACCAGAGTCCCTTTATCCACATTTAGACCGATGTACTCACGACTGTCCTCCGTGAAGATCCGCGCTCGACCAGATTTCAGTCTTTTAACATCCAAACCGAGATCCTGAACGATATTTCCCACAACAGAGCCCTTATTCATCTCCTCAGGAATGGAGTAACGGACCTGCCCGCGCGCAACGGTCAGAACAAAGACAAACAGGACGAGAAACTGCATCAGCCGTCGACAAACCCCAGAGATGGAGCCTGTGTTCCGGGCGTTATGAGAACAAAGGACATCCATCTTTAATACTGCAAATACTTCAGTCCAGCTTCCAGTATGTGAACTAATACTCATTTACTTAAGACAGAAATGAAAATGCACTAATATTATTCGAATGTGCTGAAAGGCAATGCCCAACTACGCGTGCGCGCTTGAGGGACGATCTGAAATGGAGATATTTTGCTTTGTGCATGATGTCAGAATGTGGAGGAGGATCCACAAATGAGATTCAAAACCCTGCACGCACTGACCAACAGCGGCACTCAGAGCACTGAAAGAAAATTGCAACAGCAAATAGTTTGAATATATTCCGCAGTACGAGCACATTTCATATGGAAATTACTCAGATCGATTAAAGTAAAAAATAAATAAATAAATAAATAAAAAAAAAAATTAAATACAACTACTAACAGTAATCATGATAATAGTAGTAATAGGCTTGTATAGGTAAAAAATTAAATCTGTGCACTATAAAACCAAACTGCACATCTTCATGAAAGAATTTAGTTAACACAAATACTACAGAAACCGGAGTGACTGAAAATTTCAAAGTAACCCACAAATGAATTGTTGAGAAGTTACTCAGTCATTTTGAGTGAGATCTTTTTTAAGCATTTTTTTTTTGTTACTGTAACTTTATTTAAATGTATTATACTCACTGTTTTTATTTAAGTTAACTTTACACACAAATTCAAACAGGCCAATAATGGGTTGTTTTTCAAGATTGTTGAAAATGTAACCCTCTTCTAACTAAATATGCACACTTCTAATAAATGACTGACTGTTTACTCCATTTATTAGTCATAGTCTTAGCGTATTCAAAACAATCTACATCAAAAGTGATGGACGCCAAGCACATGAAATAGTCTTGATGTCTATCAGGAGTAGCTGTTCTCCTCAGCACAGCTGGAATATGTTCTAATGTTTTTGGCTATAACATCAGTGACTGAGCTGTTGGGGTGTTCTGTATCAGTGGATTTATGATAAACTGCATAAATGTTTACATTTAAATTATTTGGACTTCACGTGCTTGGCTCGTAACTTTATTTTGATGATTTCAAACACTGAAACGGAATCTTTGAATTGAATCAACTTGTTACAATTTAGTTTAGACTTCTCAGCTTCACTTGATAAATGTTCAGTCAGTGCAATCTTGTTGAGTAAAAGCCACATCATTCCTATTTGCTCTTGGTACCATATATTTGCATATTGGGCGTGTCTTTCCACCTGGTTTACCCTACCATCTGTGTGTTGTCATTCTCCCCAGCCTACCCTTCCCTAGGTTATTTTTGTTTTCTAAAATTTGGTAAATCCTTTCACCCAGTAATGACTGAAAGTCAGTGTTGAGGGAGCTGAGTTATCAAGTTCCCACATGTTGAGTCTGGTTTTGAGTTGGCTAAATGCTGTAGAGATCACATCTGCACTGTGGTTCAGAGATGGTCCAGAGTAATATTAAGTTAGATAAGACATTGTTATGAATCTTTATTAATATCAAGTTCCTGCAGTACAATATGAATTTGTTATAATAATAGTCTAGTTTAGCCTTGCAGTTAATTTCTATTTACAATTACTTACTTGTATTGAGTTAGTACGGCTATAACATGTAAGTCCAAAATACTCAAACATTTTAAGATCAACAAAACGAATGGAGTAAGCAGAATTTACTCAATTTACTTAAGTGTATACAACATATATTTTCACACTTAGTTCAGGGAAATATTTAAGGTCAAATGATTCAACTTATTTTAAGTTAAATCATTTAAGGCAATGGGTTTCCTCAAACCATTTCAGTTGACTTAAATCAGCAGATTTTACAGTGTGACTCTGGGACTGAAAATTACACATAAAAAGTGAAAAAAAAAACAAAAAAAAAAACTTTTTAACAGAATGTGATAATGTCACCATGTTTTGTTCTGTAGAAATAATTAATCAGTGAATACAGGACCTCGAAAAAAAAAGGTTTCTGAATTTTCAGATCTCACCTGATCCTCAGAGTCATTGGCCAGATTTTCTCTCTGCGCACGCGTCAGAGTCTGTGTTCCACTGGTGTCCAAGCTAATGATGCTCTCACTGGAAGGTCTGACATATTTCAGATCACTCTTTCTGGAGTCAGTCGTTCTGCAAACCTCATAATTATACACATGCTGTAAAGTCCCCGTCCCTCCTACGTCTGCGTAAAGGGGTGGATAATATGGAATAACTGGCAGATTCGCACCTGATTTGTAAAACATCCGCTCACGTCTCCATCTGTAGCATTTGACTGACAGTATGGCTATGATGGAGACGATAAAGAGAAATGAAACTACAGCCAAGGCCAAGACTAGATAGAAAGTCAGGTTGTCGTTGTAATCCTTGTCGTGCGTAAAGTCAGTGAACTCCGAGAGCACTTCAGGGAAACTGTCCGCCACCGCCACGTTAATATTGACCGTAGCTGAACGAGAGGGCTGCCCATTGTCCTCCACTACAACAGTGAGCTTCTGCTTCACAGCATCTTTATCGGTCACTTGGCGCACAGTTCTTATTTCTCCATTCTGTGCGCCCACTTCAAACAGCGCCCTGTCTGTGGCTTTCTGCAGTTTATATGAGAGCCAGGCATTCTGTCCAGAGTCCACATCAACAGCCACCACTTTAGTCACGAGATAGCCCACATCTGCTGAGCGAGGCACCATTTCAGCCACCACAGAGCCCCCAGTCTGGACTGGGTACAGAACCTGAGGCGCGTTGTCGTTCTGGTCCTGAATGATGATCTTCACACTCACATTGCTACTGAGAGGTGGGTTTCCTCCGTCCTGCGCTTTTACGCGGATATTAAACTCTTTTGTTTGCTCGTAATCAAAAGAACGAACAGCCAGAATCTCTCCGCTCTCTGCATGAACTGAAATATAAGTGGAGGCTGAAACTCCATTAACGAGAACATCCTCAAGAAAATATGAAATGCGCGCATTGTTACCAGAGTCTTTATCACTTGCCGTGACTGCAAATATAGACACTCCAGGTGTGTTATTTTCCATCACATAAGCGGTGTAAGACTGACGCTGGAACACAGGGGCGTTGTCATTGACATCAGATATTTTAATATTCAAGATTTTGCTCGTGGATAAAGAGGGAGAACCCTCATCAGTAGCTGTTATTGTTATATTATATTCAGACACCTTCTCACGATCTAAAAGCTGATCAGTGACTACACTGAAGAAATTCGTAGATGTCGATTTGATTTTAAAGGGCGCGTCGCGAGCTATTGAACATTTTACCTGCCCATTTTTCCCCGAATCTAAATCTTTGACGTTCAGCATCGCTATCACTGTCTCCGGGGCGGAGTCTTCTGGTATCGCCTGAGAAAATGAAATTATGCTTATGATAGGTGCATTATCATTAATATCAGCAACTTCAATCACCACTTTAGAGGAATCTGTCAGGCCTCCTTTGTCTGATGCTTCAACAGTAATTTGAAAATGTTTTGACTTCTCGAAGTCCAGATCACCGTTTACAGTGATCTCACCGGTCTCAGAATCAATGTTAAATAAATTCAAGCTCTTTCCGGTGCTTTGAGAAAATGAATACGTCACCTGAGCGTTTGTGCCTTTGTCTTTATCTGTAGCAGTTACTGTGGCGACATAGGTGCCCTTGGGTGAATTCTCCAGCAGGGAAACGCGATATACAGGCAGACTAAATACAGGGGAATTATCGTTTGCATCCATAACTGTTACGGTTATCTTAACAGTGCCAGATTTCTGTGGATTTCCTCCATCAAATGCCACCAGAGTCAATAAATGATCTTCTTGATTCTCTCTATCTAAAAGTGTTTGCAACACCATTTCTATGTATTTCAGCCCATCATTACCGGCCACTTCTTTCAGAGAAAAATGGTCTGTTGGGTTGAGTGTGTACCTCTGTAGAGCATTAAGACCTACATCAGGATCATGAGCGCTGTCTAAAGAAAATTTCGCTCCAGGTAGAGCTGATTCACTAATTTGAAAACCAATTTCTCTTCTTGTAAAAACAGGCGCATTATCATTAATATCTAATATTTCTACATCGACCTGATGCAGCTCCATCGGGTTTTCTAGAATGATCTGGAAATGTAAGGAGCATGGAGTGACCTGGGCGCACAGCTGCTCTCTATCTATCCTCTCTCTCACTACCAGAGTCCCTTTATCCACATTTAGACCGATGTACTCACGACTGTCCTCCGTGAAGATCCGCGCTCGACCAGATTTCAGTCTTTTAACATCCAAACCGAGATCCTGAACGATATTTCCCACAACAGAGCCCTTATTCATCTCCTCAGGAATGGAGTAACGGACCTGCCCGCGCGCAACGGTCAGAACAAAGACAAACAGGACGAGAAACTGCACCAGCCGTCGACAAACACGAGAGATAGAGCCTGTATTCCGGGCGTTATGAGAACAAAGGACATCCATGATGGAAATCGTTCAATACAGCTTCGAATATCCAAATCAATATTCAATCATTTGAAGAAAATATACAAGAAAAAAATGATGAAGTATTATTCGATTGCGCTGAGAGGCAATGCCCGCCTGTGTGTTTATGTTGGTGAGACAGTCTGGAATGAGATATTTTGCTTCATGCATGATGTCAGAATGTGGAGGAGGATCCACAAATGAGCTTTAAAAACCCGCACACACTGACCAACAGCGGCACTCAGAGCACTGAAAGAAAATTACACGGAAAAAAAAAAAAGGAAAATTCTAAAAAAGAAAATTAATAAAAATAAAAGTATTTTATATGGACGTGAGGCACACAGCTTAACATATTGGCATTTTAGTGGTAAGTATTAATAATAATAATAATAATAATAATAATGTTAAACGTAATGAAATATTCATATGGCGACTGTGGAATCTAATGTAATTTCATCAGATTAAAATCAATAAATGAATAAATGAACGACTTTTATATGTGAAAAATATGGCAGTGTTATAAGAAAAGATGTTTAACGTACTTTAAAGATAGTAATGAACATAATTCAGGACCTCAATGACTATATCTCACCTGATCCCCAGAGTCATTTATCAGTTTCCCCCTCTGCGCATGCGTGAGTGTTTGTGTTCCACTGGTATCCAAGCTAATGATGCTCTCACTGGAAGGTCTGGCATATTTCAGATCACTCTTTCTGGAGTCAGTCGTTCTGCAGACCTCATAATTATACACATGCTGTAAAGTCCCCGTCCCTCCTACGTCTGCGTAAAGGGGTGGATAATATGGAATAACTGGCAGATTGGCACCTGATTTGTAAAACATCCGCTCACGTCTCCATCTGTAGCATTTGACTGACAGTATGGCTATGATGGAGACGATAAAGAGAAATGAAACTACAGCCAAGGCCAAGACTAGATAGAAAGTCAGGTTGTCGTTGTAATCCTTGTCGTGCGTAAAGTCAGTGAACTCCGAGAGCACTTCAGGGAAACTGTCCGCCACCGCCACGTTAATATTGACCGTAGCTGAACGAGAGGGCTGCCCGTTGTCCTCCACTACAACAGTGAGTTTCTGCTTCACAGCATCTTTATCGGTCACTTGGCGCACAGTTCTTATTTCTCCATTCTGTGCGCCCACTTCAAACAGCGCCCTGTCTGTGGCTTTCTGCAGTTTATATGAGAGCCAGGCATTCTGTCCAGAGTCCACATCAACAGCCACCACTTTAGTCACAAGATAGCCCACATCTGCTGAGCGAGGCACCATTTCAGCCACCACAGAGCCCCCAGTCTGGACTGGGTACAGAACCTGAGGCGCGTTGTCGTTCTGGTCCTGAATGATGATCTTCACACTCACATTGCTACTGAGAGGTGGGTTTCCTCCGTCCTGCGCTTTTACGCGGATATTAAACTCTTTTGTTTGCTCGTAATCAAAAGAACGAACAGCCAGAATCTCTCCGCTCTCTGCATGAACTGAAATATAAGTGGAGGCTGAAACTCCATTAACGAGAACATCCTCAAGAAAATATGAAATGCGCGCATTGTTACCAGAGTCTTTATCACTTGCTGTAACTGCAAATATAGACACTCCAGGTGTGTTATTTTCCATCACATAAGCGGTGTAAGACTGACGCTGGAACACAGGGGCGTTGTCATTGACATCAGATATTTTAAGCTGCAGTGTTTTATTAGTAGAGAATGAAGGTGAGCCCTCATCAGTAGCTCTGATTGTTATATTATATTCTGAAACCTTCTCACGATCTAAATACTGATCGGTGACCAAACTATAGAAATTAGAGGAGGATGATTTGATGCGAAATGGTAAATCTGAATTCACTGAACATTTAATCTGTCCGTTTTTACCGGAGTCTATATCTTTAATATTGAGCATCGCTATAACAGTCTCCGGGGCGGAGTCCTCTGGGATGGGATTGGAAAAAGAGATAACACTGATAACAGGAGCATTGTCATTAACATCAGTGATCTCAACCAGCACTTTACTGGTATCAGTTAGTCCGCCCTTATCTTTAGCTTCGACATTCAGCTCGTACTGTTTGGATGCTTCATAATCCAATGGACCATTAACTTTTATTTCTCCAGTATTAGAATCAATATTGAACAAGTCTACGTCCTCAATTCCGGTGTTTTCTGGAAACGAATATGTAACCTCACCATTAAGCCCTTTATCTTTGTCTGTAGCAAGCACAGTCACTACTATACTGCCCTTCTGAGCATTTTCTGGCAAAGACACTCGGTAAACTGGCTGACTGAACACGGGAGGATTGTCGTTCGCATCAATAACAATGACGGTTATTTTAACTGTTCCAGATTTCTGAGGAGAGCCTCCATCAAATGCTGTCAGAATTAATTTATGCTCTTCTTGTTGCTCTCTGTCTAAAGGTGTTTGAAGTACCATCTGAACATACTTTGTTCCATCATTACGCGACAATTCTTTTAAGGTAAAATGATCTGTTGGATTAAGAGTGTATCTCTGCAATGCGTTTAAACCTACATCAGGGTCACGCGCATTATCTAGAGAAAACCGAGCACCAGGAAGTGCTAGCTCACCAACATCAATGTTAATCTCCTTTCTTGCAAAAACAGGAGCATGATCATTAATATCTAATATTTCCACATCAATTCTATGCAGCTCCATCGGGTTTTCTAGAATGATCTGGAAGTGTAAGGAGCATGGAGTGACCTGGGCGCACAGCTGCTCTCTATCTATTCTCTCTCTCACTACCAGAGTCCCTTTATCCACATTTAGACCGATGTACTCACGACTGTCCTCCGTGAAGATCCGCGCTCGACCAGATTTCAGTCTTTTAACATCCAAACCGAGATCCTGAACGATATTTCCCACAACAGAGCCCTTATTCATCTCCTCAGGAATGGAGTAACGGACCTGCCCGCGCGCAACGGTCAGAACAAAGACAAACAGGACGAGAAACTGCATCAGCCGTAGACAAACACCAGAGATGGGGCCTATGTTCCGGGCGTTATGAGAACAAAGGGCATCCATGATGGAAATGCTACAATACAGGTTCTGATATCCGAATCAGTATTAAATCCTTTGAAAAAATAGTAGAAAAAAAAATTGAAGAAGTATTATTCGATTGCGCTGAGAGGCAATGCCCGCCTGTGCGTCTGTGGTGGTGAGATAGTCTGGAATGAGATATTTTGCTTTATGCATGATGTCAGAATGTGGAGGAGGATCCGCAAATAAGCTTTAAAAACCTGCACACACTGACCAACAGCGGCACTCAGAGCACTGAAAGAAAATTACAACGCAAAAAAAGCCCTTGTACATATTCTGGAATACAAAAAATATATTTTATATGGACGTGACGCACACGCATTAATCTTATAGCGTTTAAATTGTAGCTAATAATAATAATAATAATAATAATAATAAAAATAATAATAATCCATACAATAAACAGTTATTGCTAAAATGTTAATATGGCGATTGAGACACTTAATTTGATTAAAATCAATAAGTGTATAAATACACCATTTTACAAGTGAAAAATATGGCAGTGTTATCAAAAAAAAAAAGTTCAAATCAAAGTTAGCAATGAACATAATTCATGACGTCAGTGACTTCATCTCACCTGATCCACCGAGTCACTGGTCAGTTTCCCCCTCTGCGCATGCGTGAGTGTTTGCGTTCCACTGGTGTCCAAGCTAATGATGCTCTCACTGGAAGGTCTGACATATTTCAGATCACTCTTTCTGGAGTCAGTCGTTCTGCAAACCTCATAATTATACACATGCTGTAAAGTCCCCGTCCCTCCTACGTCTGCGTAAAGGGGTGGATAATATGGAATAACTGGCAGATTGGCACCTGATTTATAAAACAGCCGCTCTCGTCTCCATCTGTAGCATTTGACTGACAGTATGGCTATGATGGAGACGATAAAGAGAAATGAAACTACAGCCAAGGCCAAGACTAGATAGAAAGTCAGGTTGTCGTTGTAATCCTTGTCGTGCGTGAAGTCAGTGAACTCCGAGAGCACTTCAGGGAAACTGTCCGCCACCGCCACGTTAATATTGACCGTAGCTGAACGAGAGGGCTGCCCGTTGTCCTCCACTACAACAGTGAGCTTCTGCTTCACAGCATCTTTATCGGTCACTTGGCGCACAGTTCTTATTTCTCCATTCTGTGCGCCCACTTCAAACAGCGCCCTGTCTGTGGCTTTCTGCAGTTTATATGAGAGCCAGGCATTCTGTCCAGAGTCCACATCAACAGCCACCACTTTAGTCACGAGATAGCCCACATCTGCTGAGCGAGGCACCATTTCAGCCACCACAGAGCCCCCAGTCTGGACTGGGTACAGAACCTGAGGCGCGTTGTCGTTCTGGTCCTGAATGATGATCTTCACACTCACATTGCTACTGAGAGGTGGGTTTCCTCCGTCCTGCGCTTTTACGCGGATATTAAACTCTTTTGTTTGCTCGTAATCAAAAGAACGAACAGCCAGAATCTCTCCGCTCTCTGCATGAACTGAAATATAAGTGGAGGCTGAAACTCCATTAACGAGAACATCCTCAAGAAAATATGAAATGCGCGCATTGTTACCAGAGTCTTTATCACTTGCTGTGACTGCAAATATAGACACTCCAGGTGTGTTATTTTCCATCACATAAGCGGTGTAAGACTGACGCTGGAACACAGGGGCGTTGTCATTGACATCAGATATTTTAAGCTGCAGTGTTTTATTAGTAGAGAATGAAGGTGAGCCCTCATCAGTAGCTCTGATTGTTATATTATATTCGGGTGTCGTCTCACGATCCAAAACTCGTTCAGTTACTAAGCTATAGAAATTGGAGGTCGATTGTTGTATTTTAAACGGTAAATTTGAATCAATGGTACATTTTACCTGCCCGTTCTTACCCGAATCTAAGTCTTTTACATTTAACATCGCTATCACAGTCCCAGGAGCGGAATCTTCAGCAACCGGATTAGAGAAAGAAATAACACTCATAACAGGAGCGTTGTCGTTAACATCGACCAATTCAATAGCGACTTTACTGGAATCCTTTAAACCTCCCTTATCTGTTGCTTCCACGTTTAACTGAAATTGCTTGTTTTTCTCGAAATCGAGGTCACCGTTCACTGTAATGTCACCGGTGTGGGCATCAATGTTGAATAAATCTAACGCTTTTCCAGAGCTTTGGGAAAACGAGTAGACCACATCAGCATTCGCCCCTTTGTCTCGATCTGATGCATTCACGGTGACAATAACAGTACCTTTTGGTGAGTTTTCAGATAATGAAGCCCTGTAAACAGGCTGACTAAATACAGGAGAATTATCATTTGCGTCCATAACATTTACATTGACTTTAACGGTTCCGGACTTAGGAGGAGAGCCTCCATCAAATGCTGATAAAACTAAATTATGTTGCTCTTTTTCTTCTCTATCAAGAGGCGTTTTTAAAACCATTTCGACATATTTCATTCCATCACTATCAGTTACATCCTTCAATGAAAAATGATCTGTTGGATTAAGAGTGTATTTCTGCAGTGCATTCAGACCTACATCAGGATCCTGCGCATTATCTAAAGAAAACCGAGCACCAGGGACAGCTAGCTCACCAACATCAATATTAATCTCTTTTCTTGCAAAAACAGGAGCATGATCATTAATATCTAATATTTCCACATCAATTCTGTGCAGCTCCATCGGGTTTTCTAGAATGATCTGGAAGTGTAAGGAGCATGGAGTGACCTGGGCGCACAGCTCCTCTCTATCTATTCTCTCTCTCACTACCAGAGTCCCTCTATCCACATTTAGACCGATGTACTCACGACTGTCCTCCGTGAAGATCCGCGCTCGACCAGATTTCAGTCTTTTAACATCCAAACCGAGATCCTGAACGATATTTCCCACAACAGAGCCCTTATTCATCTCCTCAGGAATGGAGTAACGGACCTGCCCGTGCGCAACGGTCAGAACAAAGACTAGTACAAAGAGCAGACGGAACGAAACGCAGGAGGAGTATCTGCTTTTCCGGGCGTCAAAAGAACAAAGAACAGCCATATTTTAACCACCCGAATCCAAATCAAGGAGATGCGACAAATATTCCTAAAGTTAAAAGAGAACAAAATGGGAAATATTATTCAAAACAACAGCGGACGTTGCACCACTAAGAGCCAGCGAAAAATGAAGACAAGCTCTGCGGCTCCTATGACGTCAGAATAAAGGGGAGGCCCTACAAAGATCCGCTTAAAACATGCACCTTCTCACACTTACTGACCAACAGCGGCACTTAGAGCATTAAAGAAATACTGCAGAGAAAATATAACACAGATGAGTGTGCCCTCAAATTTTAAAGAATTCTTTTTTGAATTAAGTAGAAATTAATGAAAGAAAGAAAAAAAAAATAGATACTGTAGACATTTTCAGGAATAAAGAAAGACAAGGGGAAAGGGAGAAAAGGAGAAAAAACTGAATAAACAATAGAGTGCCAATATGTATAAACGTATACACAGTGTAGACAGATGAAAGAAAATGTAAGAAAACGCTATGTTTCTTGATCTCACCTTATCATCATAATCATTGCTTGTTATGTCTCTCTGCGCATGCGTGAGAGTCTGTGCTCCACTGGTGTCCAAGCTAATGATGCTCTCACTGGAAGGTCTGGCATATTTCAGATCACTCTTTCTGGAGTCAGTCGTTCTGCAAACCTCATAATTATACACATGCTGTAAAGTCCCCGTCCCTCCTACGTCTGCGTAAAGGGGTGGATAATATGGAATAACTGGCAGATTGGCACCTGATTTATAAAACAGCCGCTCTCGTCTCCATCTGTAGCATTTGACTGACAGTATGGCTATGATGGAGACGATAAAGAGAAATGAAACTACAGCCAAGGCCAAGACTAGATAGAAAGTCAGGTTGTCGTTGTAATCCTTGTCGTGCGTAAAGTCAGTAAACTCCGAGAGCACTTCAGGGAAACTGTCCGCCACCGCCACGTTAATATTGACCGTAGCTGAACGAGAGGGCTGCCCGTTGTCCTCCACTACAACAGTGAGCTTCTGCTTCACAGCATCTTTATCGGTCACTTGGCGCACAGTTCTTATTTCTCCATTCTGTGCGCCCACTTCAAACAGCGCCCTGTCTGTGGCTTTCTGCAGTTTATATGAGAGCCAGGCATTCTGTCCAGAGTCCACATCAACAGCCACCACTTTAGTCACGAGATAGCCCACATCTGCTGAGCGAGGCACCATTTCAGCCACCACAGAGCCCCCAGTCTGGACTGGGTACAGAACCTGAGGCGCGTTGTCGTTCTGGTCCTGAATGATGATCTTCACACTCACATTGCTACTGAGAGGTGGGTTTCCTCCGTCCTGCGCTTTTACGCGGATATTAAACTCTTTTGTTTGCTCGTAATCAAAAGAACGAACAGCCAGAATCTCTCCGCTCTCTGCATGAACTGAAATATAAGTGGAGGCTGAAACTCCATTAACGAGAACATCCTCAAGAAAATATGAAATGCGCGCATTGTTACCAGAGTCTTTATCACTTGCTGTGACTGCAAATATAGACACTCCAGGTGTGTTATTTTCCATCACATAAGCGGTGTAAGACTGACGCTGGAACACAGGGGCGTTGTCATTGACATCAGATATTTTAAGCTGCAGTGTTTTATTAGTAGAGAATGAAGGTGAGCCCTCATCAGTAGCTCTGATTGTTATATTATATTCTGAAACCTTCTCACGATCTAAATACTGATCGGTGACCAAACTATAGAAATTAGAGGAGGATGATTTGATGCGAAATGGTAAATCTGAATTCACTGAACATTTAATCTGTCCGTTTTTACCGGAGTCTATATCTTTAATATTGAGCATCGCTATAACAGTCTCCGGGGCGGAGTCCTCTGGGATGGGGTTGGAAAAAGAGATAACACTGATAACAGGAGCATTGTCATTAACATCAGTGATCTCAACCAGCACTTTACTGGTATCAGTCAGCCCCCCTATATCTCTAGCTTCGACATTTAACTCGTACTGTTTAGATTTTTCATAATCCAAAAGACCATTCAGTTTTATTTCTCCAGTATCAGAATTAATGGTGAATATGTCTATGGATTCTACTCCTGTGCTTTGAGGAAACGAATACGTAACCTCACCATAAGGTCCTTTGTCCTTGTCTGTAGCACTTACTATCACCACTGTGCTTCCTTTCCGAGCGTTTTCTGATAAAGACACTAGGTAAACTGGCTGACTGAACACGGGAGGATTGTCGTTTGCATCAATAACAATGACGGTTATTTTAACTGTTCCAGATTTCTGAGGAGAGCCTCCATCAAATGCTGTCAGAATTAATTTATGCTCTTCTTGTTGCTCTCTGTCTAAAGCTGTCTGTAACACCATCTCAACATATTTTGTTCCATCATTGCGAGATAATTCTTTCAAAGTGAAATGGTCTGTTGGATTAAGAGTGTATCTCTGCAGTGCGTTTAAACCTACATCAGGATCACGCGCACTGTCTAAAGAAAACCGAGCACCAGGGACAGCGGACTCACCAATGTCGATATTAATCTCCTTTCTTGCAAAAACAGGAGCATGATCATTAATATCTAATATTTCTACATCAACTCGATGCATCTCCATCGGGTTTTCTAGAATGATCTGGAAATGTAAGGAGCATGGAGTGACCTGGGCGCACAGCTCCTCTCTATCTATCCTCTCTCTCACTACCAGAGTCCCTTTATCCACATTTAGACCGATGTACTCACGACTGTCCTCCGTGAAGATCCGCGCTCGACCAGATTTCAGTCTTTTAACATCCAAACCGAGATCCTGAACGATATTTCCCACAACAGAGCCCTTATTCATCTCCTCAGGAACGGAGTAACGGATTTGACAGTGCACAACAGCCAGAACAAAGGAAAAAAGAACCAGAAGCTTCCATGTCAAACCCTGCTTAGAGGAGTTGCTTCGTCGGGCGTACAATGAACAAAGAGCACCCATATTACCAAAACTGCAATTCACTCCAAAAGATCATATACACACTTTCTTTTATATACACAGATTCGAGTGCCCAAAAATGCACGACAAATTCATTCGACCGATGTGCGGACGTGTTGACGATTTGGTCTGCTTTTCTCAAATGAAACAGAGAATGCGCAGTCTGTATGATGTCACAGTCTGGGCAGGATCACGCAATAAGCGCCTAAAGCCTTCACGCACTGACCAACAGCGTCACACAGAGCCTAAAACGGTTATTACAACTATGGTGAAGGATGAGATAATGTCTTGCTGATTAGAACTCGAGCCAATGTGTAAAATTAAAGTTAATCGAATATGTTTTTAAAGAAAAGCATTTCAGGAACCTCTAGAACGTGCAAAGTCTTTGAAGAATTGTTAAAGGTTGGGGAAAAAATGTCTGACGACACAATACGAATCATTAAGTACATCTTTTGAAAAATATGTATTAAAAGATTAATTGCAATACATGGGAAAAAATCAGATAATTCCTCGTACAAAGATCCTGATTCCGAATTTCAGTACAATGGACAGAGGCAGAAAGCTTCTAACATGCACATTCAACACCTCAAAGTTTTTAAAATAAATGAGATCTCAAAATCAAGAAAAACAACAACAGCAACAACAACAACAACAACAACAATAATAATAATAAAATAATAATAATAATAATAATAATAATAGCGCTAGTAATAACACGAAACACAAAATCTCACCTGATCGTCAAAATCGTCACTTATCAGTTTCTCCCTCTGCGCATGTGTGAGCGTTTGTGTTCCACTGGGATCGAGACTAATGATGCTCTGAGTTGGTCTCATGTGCTTCAGATCACTCTTTCTGGAGTCAGTCGTTCTGCAAACCTCATAATTATACACATGCTGTAAAGTCCCCGTCCCTCCTACGTCTGCGTAAAGGGGTGGATAATATGGAATAACTGGCAGATTGGCACCTGATTTATAAAACATCCGCTCTCGTCTCCATCTGTAGCATTTGACTGACAGTATGGCTATGATGGAGACGATAAAGAGAAATGAAACTACAGCCAAGGCCAAGACTAGATAGAAAGTCAGGTTGTCGTTGTAATCCTTGTCGTGCGTAAAGTCAGTGAACTCCGAGAGCACTTCAGGGAAACTGTCCGCCACCGCCACGTTAATATTGACCGTAGCTGAACGAGAGGGCTGCCCGTTGTCCTCCACTACAACAGTGAGCTTCTGCTTTACAGCATCTTTATCGGTCACTTGGCGCACAGTTCTTATTTCTCCATTCTGTGCGCCCACTTCAAACAGCGCCCTGTCTGTGGCTTTCTGCAGTTTATATGAGAGCCAGGCATTCTGTCCAGAGTCCACATCAACAGCCACCACTTTAGTCACAAGATAGCCCACATCTGCTGAACGAGGCACCATTTCAGCCACCACAGAGCCCCCAGTCTGGACTGGGTACAGAACCTGAGGCGCGTTGTCGTTCTGGTCCTGAATGATGATCTTCACACTCACATTGCTACTGAGAGGTGGGTTTCCTCCGTCCTGCGCTTTTAGGCGAATATTAAACTCTTTTGTTTGCTCGTAATCAAAAGAGCGAACAGCCAGAATCTCTCCGCTCTCTGCATGAACTGAAATATAAGTGGAGGCTGAAACTCCGTTAACGAGAACATCCTCAAGAAAATATGAAATGCGCGCATTGTTACCAGAGTCTTTATCACTTGCTGTGACTGCAAATATAGACACTCCAGGTGTGTTATTTTCCATCACATAAGCGGTGTAAGACTGACGCTGGAACACAGGGGCGTTGTCATTGACATCAGATATTTTAAGCTGCAGTGTTTTATTAGTAGAGAATGAAGGTGAGCCCTCATCAGTAGCTCTTATTGTTATATTATATTCTGAAACCTTCTCACGATCTAAATACTGATCTGTGACCAAACTATAGAAATTAGAGGAGGATGGTTTGATGCGAAATGGTAAATCTGAATTCACTGAACATTTAATCTGTCCGTTTTTACCGGAGTCTATATCTTTAATATTGAGCATCGCTATAACAGTCTCCGGGGCGGAGTCCTCTGGGATGGGGCTGGAAAAAGAGATAACACTGATAACAGGAGCATTGTCATTAACATCAGTGATCTCAACCAGCACTTTACTGGTATCAGTTAGTCCACCTTTATCTTTTGCCTCGATATTCAATTCGTACTGTTTATATTTTTCAAAGTCTAACTGGCCACTTACTCGAATATCTCCAGTGTCTTGATCTATTGTGAATAAGTCGATAGTTTTACCGGTGCTCTGTGAAAACGAATATATAATCACACCGTTAGCTCCTTTGTCCTTGTCAGTTGCACTCACTGTTGCTAATCTTACTCCTCTTGGTGCATTTTCCGAAACAGTAACTTTATATGCAGGCTGACTAAACACTGGAGTGTTATCATTAACATCAATAACCATGATATTAATTTTGACTGTCCCCGATTTTTGAGGAGTGCCTCCATCAAAAGCCGTCAATTTCAATTTATGCTCCTCTTGTTTTTCTCTGTCTAAAGCTGTCTGCAAAATCATCTCTACATATTTTGTGCCATCACTACGGGATAATTCCTTTAGTGAAAAATGATCCGTTGGTTCAAGGGTGTATCTTTGGAGTGCATTCAGTCCTACATCTGGATCATGTGCATTATCTAAAGAAAATTTCGCTCCAGGGACAGCCGACTCACTAATCTGGAAATTGATCTCACTGTTTGCAAAAACAGGAGCATGATCATTAATATCTAATATTTCCACATCAATTCTGTGCAGCTCCATCGGGTTTTCTAGAATGATCTGGAAATGTAAGGAGCATGGAGTGACCTGGGCGCACAGCTCCTCTCTATCTATCCTCTCTCTCACTACCAGAGTCCCTTTATCCACATTTAGACCGATGTACTCACGACTGTCCTCCGTGAAGATCCGCGCTCGACCAGATTTCAATCTTTTAACATCCAAACCGAGATCCTGAACGATATTTCCCACAACAGAGCCCTTATTCATCTCCTCAGGAATGGAGTAACGGATTTGACCGTGCACAACAGCCAGAACAAAGCCGAAGAGAACGAGAAGCTTCATCTGCATTAGTGATGTCAAACTCCGCGTAGAGGACCTTCTTCGTCCGACGTACAAAGAACAAAGAGCACCCATATTACCAAGACTGCGATCCACTCCAGAGCATCATACAAACATTTTCATATACAAGGAGGAACAAATGACGAAATAAATGTAAGAAAGTCTCAGCAGACTGATGTGTGGACGTGTTGACGATTTGGTCTGCTTTTCTCAAATGAAACAGAGAATGCGCAGTCTGAATGATGTCACAGCCTGGGGAGGATCACGGAATAAGCGCTTAAGGCCTTCACGCACTGACCAACAGCGTCACACAGAGCCTAAAAAGGTTATTACACCTACAATATGGTGAAGGATGAAATGATGCAAAGTGAACTGAAATTCGCACCAACGTCTAAACTTGCTGCTAAAAATTATGTTAAAAAGGAAAGTATTTCAGATAATTCTAAAATGCACAACAACTTAGTTAAATGTTTCTTGTTGAAAATTAAAATGAATATGATAAAACATAAATCAGTAAATCTCAAGGAAACAATATTGTATGTTTTAAAAATGATTACAATTCATAAGAAAACTTGTACAGAAAACTGCTCTAACAAAAGGAAAGCCTTAGTCTCGACACCACGGACAGAGGCTTAAAAGCATATTCTTTGCTCATGCAGCGGTTAAAAATCTTAAACTAAACGCGATAGCACAAAACAACAACCTAATAATAATAATACTAATACTACTACTACTACTACTACTACTAATAATAATAATAATAATAATAATAATAACACCAATACAAAATCTCACCTGATCGTCAAAATCGTCATTTATCAGTTTCTCCCTCTGCGCATGCGTGAGAGTCTGTGTTCCACTGGCATCAAGACTAATAATGCTCTGAGTTGGTCTCATGTGCTTCAGATCACTCTTTCTGGAGTCAGTCGTTCTGCAAACCTCATAATTATACACATGCTGTAAAGTCCCCGTCCCTCCTACGTCTGCGTAAAGGGGTGGATAATATGGAATAACTGGCAGATTGGCACCTGATTTATAAAACATCCGCTCACGTCTCCATCTGTAGCATTTGACTGACAGTATGGCTATGATGGAGACGATAAAGAGAAATGAAACTACAGCCAAAGCCAAGACTAGATAGAAAGTCAGGTTGTCGTTGTAATCCTTGTCGTGCGTAAAGTCAGTGAACTCCGAGAGCACTTCAGGGAAACTGTCCGCCACCGCCACGTTAATATTGACCGTAGCTGAACGAGAGGGCTGCCCGTTGTCCTCCACTACAACAGTGAGCTTCTGCTTCACGGCATCTTTATCGGTCACTTGGCGCACAGTTCTAATTTCTCCATTCTGTGCGCCCACTTCAAACAGCGCCCTGTCTGTGGCTTTCTGCAGTTTATATGAGAGCCAGGCATTCTGTCCAGAGTCCACATCAACAGCCACCACTTTAGTCACGAGATAGCCCACATCTGCTGAGCGAGGCACCATTTCAGCCACCACAGAGCCCCCAGTCTGGACTGGGTACAGAACCTGAGGCGCGTTGTCGTTCTGGTCCTGAATGATGATCTTCACACTCACATTGCTACTGAGAGGTGGGTTTCCTCCGTCCTGCGCTTTTACGCGGATATTAAACTCTTTTGTTTGCTCGTAATCAAAAGAACGAACAGCCAGAATCTCTCCGCTCTCTGCATGAACTGAAATATAAGTGGAGGCTGAAACTCCATTAACGAGAACATCCTCAAGAAAATATGAAATGCGCGCATTGTTACCAGAGTCTTTATCACTTGCTGTGACTGCAAATATAGACACTCCAGGTGTGTTATTTTCCATCACATAAGCGGTGTAAGACTGACGCTGGAACACAGGGGCGTTGTCATTGACATCAGATATTTTAAGCTGCAGTGTTTTATTAGTAGAGAATGAAGGTGAGCCCTCATCAGTAGCTCTGATTGTTATATTATATTCAGAAACCTTCTCACGATCTAAATACTGATCCGTGACCAAACTATAGAAATTAGAGGAGGATGATTTGATGCGAAATGGTAAATCTGAATTCACTGAACATTTAATCTGTCCGTTTTTACCGGAGTCTATATCTTTAATATTGAGCATCGCTATAACAGTCTCCGGGGCGGAGTCCTCTGGGATGGGATTGGAAAAAGAGATAACACTGATAACAGGAGCATTGTCATTAACATCAGTGATCTCAACCAGCGCTTTACTGGTATCAGTCAGCCCCCCTACATCTCTAGCTTCGACATTCAGCTCGTACTGTTTAGACTTTTCATAATCCAATAGACCGCTCACTTTTATTTCTCCAGTATCAGAATCAATACTGAACAAGTCTTTCGCTTCTTTTCCGGTACTTTGAGAAAATGAATATTTGACCTCACCATAAGATCCTTTATCTTTGTCTGTAGCATTTACAGTCACTGCTATGCGGCTCTTTTCAGCATTTTCTGGTAAAGACACTCGGTAAACTGGCTTACTGAAAACAGGAGGATTGTCGTTTGCATCAATAACAATGACGGTTATTTTAACTGTTCCAGATTTCTGAGGAGAGCCTCCATCAAATGCTGTCAGAATTAATTTATGCTCTTCTTGTTGCTCTCTGTCTAAAGCTGTCTGTAACACCATCTCAACATACTTTGTTCCATCATTACGCGACAATTCTTTCAAAGCGAAATGATCTGTTGGATTAAGAGTGTATCTCTGCAATGCGTTTAAACCTACATCAGGGTCACGCGCGTTTTCTAAAGAAAACCGAGCTCCAGGAAGTGCTAGCTCACTAATGTCGATATTAATTTCCTTTGTTTCAAAAACAGGAGCATGATCATTAATATCTAATATTTCTACATCAATTCTGTGCAGCTCCATCGGGTTTTCTAGAATGATCTGGAAATGTAAGGAGCATGGAGTGACCTGGGCGCACAGCTCCTCTCTATCTATCCTCTCTCTCACTACCAGAGTCCCTTTATCCACATTTAGACCGATGTACTCACGACTGTCCTCCGTGAAGATCCGCGCTCGACCAGATTTCAGTCTTTTAACATCCAAACCGAGATCCTGAACGATATTTCCCACAACAGAGCCCTTATTCATCTCCTCAGGAATGGAGTAACGGATTTGACCGTGCACAACAGCCAGAACAAAGGAAAAGAGAACGAGAAGCTTCATCTGCATTAGTGATGTCAAACCCCGCGTAGAGGACCTTCTTCGACCGCCGTACAAAGAACAAAGAGCACCCATATTACCAAGACTGCGATCCACTCTAGAGCATCATACAAACATTTTCATATACAAGGAGAAACAAATGACGAAATAAATGTAAGAAAGCCTCAGCAGACTGATGTGTGGACGTGTTGACGATTTGGTCTGCTTTTCTCAAATGAAACAGAGAATGCGCAGTCTGAATGATGTCACAGCCTGGGGAGGATCACGGAATAAGCGCTTAAAGGCCTTCACGCACTGACCAACAGCGTCACACAGAGCCTAAAAAGGTTATTACAACTAGAATATGGTGAAGGATGAAATAATGCAAAGTTAACTGAAATTCGCACCAACGTCTAAACTTAATGCTCAGTAAATATGTTAAAAAGGAAAGTATTTCAGATTATTCTAAAATGCACAACAACTTAGTTAAATGTTTCTTGCTGAAAATTAAAATGAGTATGATAAAACATAAATCAGTAAATCTCAAGGAAACAATATTGTATGTTTTGAAAATGATTACAATTCATAAGAAAACTTGTACAGAAAACTGCTCTAAAAAAAGGAAAGCCTTAGTCTCGACACCACGGACAGAGGCTTAAAAGCATATTCTTTGCTCATGCAGCGGTTAAAAAATCTTAAACTAAACGCGATAGCACAAAACAACAACCTAATAATAATAATAATAATAATAATAATAATAATAACACCAATACAAAATCTCACCTGATCGTCAAAATCGTCATTTATCAGTTTCTCCCTCTGCGCATGCGTCAGAGTCTGTGTTCCACTGGTATCAAGACTAATAATGCTCTGAGTTGGTCTCATGTGCTTCAGATCACTCTTTCTGGAGTCAGTCGTTCTGCAAACCTCATAATTATACACATGCTGTAAAGTCCCCGTCCCTCCTACGTCTGCGTAAAGGGGTGGATAATATGGAATAACTGGCAGATTGGCACCTGATTTATAAAACATCCGCTCACGTCTCCATCTGTAGCATTTGACTGACAGTATGGCTATGATGGAGACGATAAAGAGAAATGAAACTACAGCCAAGGCCAAGACTAGATAGAAAGTCAGGTTGTCGTTGTAATCCTTGTCGTGCGTAAAGTCAGTGAACTCCGAGAGCACTTCAGGGAAACTGTCCGCCACCGCCACGTTAATACTGACCGTAGCTGAACGAGAGGGCTGCCCGTTGTCCTCCACTACAACAGTGAGCTTCTGCTTCACAGCATCTTTATCGGTCACTTGGCGCACAGTTCTTATTTCTCCATTCTGTGCGCCCACTTCAAACAGCGCCCTGTCTGTGGCTTTCTGCAGTTTATATGAGAGCCAGGCATTCTGTCCAGAGTCCACATCAACAGCCACCACTTTAGTCACAAGATAGCCCACATCTGCTGAGCGAGGCACCATTTCAGCCACCACAGAGCCCCCAGTCTGGACTGGGTACAGAACCTGAGGCGCGTTGTCGTTCTGGTCCTGAATGATGATCTTCACACTCACGTTGCTACTGAGAGGAGGGGAGCCTGCATCTTGCGCTATTACGCGGAACTGGAAATCTTTGATCTGCTCGTAGTCAAAAGAGCGCACTGCATGGATAACGCCGCTATCAGCACTGACAGATACGTAAGAGGAGACGGGCACTCCGTTAACCGACGAGTCCTCCAGTATGTAGGAGACTCGCGCATTCTGGTTCCAGTCTGCGTCTCTGGCTCTGACTGTGAATATGGAGAGACCTGGTGTGTTATTTTCTGGAATGGAGGCCTCATATGAGCTCCTCTCAAACACAGGAGCGTTATCATTCACATCTGATATCTGTAAGGAGAGAGTGACGCTGCTGGAGAGAGATGGAGATCCCTCATCAGCGCAGATCACACTGATATTATAACCAGACTCTCTCTCTCGGTCTAAATTACTTTCAGTTACAATACTGTAAAAGTCGCTAGAAGTCGATTGAATTGTAAACGGTATCTTTTCGCTTATTCGACAGTAGACTTGACCGTTGCTATCAGAATCTGGATCATTAGCACTGATTATAGCTATGACTGTTTCTGGTGGCGAGTCCTCCACTATACTGGTGGACTTCGACATCACTGTGATCATCGGCTTATTATCATTTACATCAATAACCTCTAACATTATTTTACTTGAATCAGAAAGGCCACCATTGTCAATTGCTTCTATGTCAATTTGGTAATGCTTGGAGATTTCATAGTCGATGTCTCCGACCAAAGTCACCACACCCTTTTCGTCTACATGAAACATCTCTGACATTCTGTCTATGTTATTCGAAATTGAATAACTTATTTGGCCATTTGAACTTTTATCTTGATCAAAGGCACTAACCGAAATAACTGATGTACCTTTAGGTGAATTTTCAGTTATCACAGCTTTATATACTGGTTTAGTAAAGACAGGAGCGTTATCATTGGCATCAAGCACAGTGATGTGTATCTGCACTGTTCCTGACATTACTGGATCTCCACCATCTATGGCCGTTAGCAATAGCGACATGTTTTCCTGTTTTTCTCGGTCTAACGGTTTTTGTAAAATCATTTCTACAGTTTTGCTTCCGTCAGCTTGGCTACCAATCTTCAGATTAAAATTGTCAGTTGGCGCTAACACATAGCTTTGGAGTCCATTTCTTCCAATGTCTGCGTCGACTGCTTTCTCTAAGACGAATTTTGAGCCAACAACAGCAGATTCACTTATCTCAAAGCGCTTTTCAGTCCTGATAAAACGAGGAGGGTTATCATTAATGTCTGTAACCTCGACGGTAATCCGGTAGAGTTCAATAGGGTTTTCTAGAATTATTTGTAAATGTAGAGCACAAGGCGTTGTCTGTCTGCATAGCGTTTCTCGGTCTATTCTCTCTTTGATCAGAAGCACCCCCCTCTCTTTATTCAGCTCGATGTATTCAGTAGAATCTCCACTAAATACACGAGCTTTTCCTGATTTCAGTCTCTTTAAATCTAAACCTAAATCCTGCGCTATATTACCGACTAAAGATCCTTTGGGCATTTCCTCAGGAATGGAGTAACTGACCTGTCCGCGCACTGAACTGAGAGAGAGGAGACAAATAAACAGCAGTACTTGCCGCGCCATTGTTCTGTCCGACATTCTGACGAGTGACAAAACAGTAAAGGCGATGTCTCCAGTGCTTAAAAGAAGGTTAGCTACACAAAGCAGCGATCCATTTCAAGAAATATTCCAATGTCCTTGAATGCAGTAAAATAAGGTAGATCTATTGCTCCGAAAGACGTTTTCTGCGCTCTGTGTTTGCAGTGCGGCTATAAAGCTCTTTCTCTCTCGCTCTCTTATTTCCACAATGTGGGGGAGGTTCTGCTCAAAATCCGGCTTGCATTCTCCAACACACTGACCAACAGCGGCACTGTGAGTCCAAATTGAAGAACTACACAAACATGAAAAGTGCAATGCATGAGAGAGAATGACTGCCATCAATAAGAAAGAAATAACGCAAAGCAAAGGAAAGGTCTAAAATATACGTAAGATCTGGGAGACAAATATGTGAACTAAAAAAGTGTCTTTCATTTTAACGTGTAAGATAATGAATGTTTACGCACCAAACAACTGAACTGTCATATAGAAAATAGCACTGAATGTAAGCGGTACAAATGTGTGCATAACTAACAAAGTAATATATTTATGACATCAAATCTGTCTTCTAGTTTACGTCATTTTAGCACTAATTATGTTGATAGAAAATATATTGTTTAATGCGCCATTATTGCCGTTGTTACATATGATACACAACATGGTTCAGAATACAGTACATGAGAAAACTGCTCTTAGAACGAAGACCTGAGTTGAAATTTCAGCACCACGGACAGAGACATATAGCGTCTGGTATGCACATTCAGCGACTCTCAAATCTTAAACTCAGCACCCAACCAATATAATAATAATAATAATAATAATAATAATAATAATAATAATAATACAAAGTCTCACCTGATCATTAAAATCGTCGTGTATCAGTTTCTCCCTCTGCGCATGTGTGAGAGTCTGTGTTCCACTGGTATCAAGACTAATAATGCTATGAGTTGGTCTGATGTGCTTTAGATCACTCTTTCTGGAGTCAGTCGTTCTGCAGACCTCATAATTATACACATGCTGTAAAGTCCCCGTCCCTCCTACGTCTGCGTAAAGGGGTGGGTAATATGGAATAACTGGCAGATTGGCACCTGATTTATAAAACATCCGCTCTCGTCTCCATCTGTAGCATTTGACTGACAGTATGGCTATGATGGAGACGATAAAGAGAAATGAAACTACAGCCAAGGCCAAGACTAGATAGAAAGTCAGGTTGTCGTTGTAATCCTTGTCGTGCGTAAAGTCAGTGAACTCCGAGAGCACTTCAGGGAAACTGTCCGCCACCGCCACGTTAATATTGACCGTAGCTGAACGAGAGGGCTGCCCGTTGTCCTCCACTACAACAGTGAGCTTCTGCTTCACAGCATCTTTATCGGTCACTTGGCGCACAGTTCTTATTTCTCCATTCTGTGCGCCCACTTCAAACAGCGCCCTGTCTGTGGCTTTCTGCAGTTTATATGAGAGCCAGGCATTCTGTCCAGAGTCCACATCAACAGCCACCACTTTAGTCACAAGATAGCCCACATCTGCTGAGCGAGGCACCATTTCAGCCACCACAGAGCCTCCAGTCTGGACTGGGTACAGAACCTGAGGCGCGTTGTCGTTCTGGTCCTGAATGATGATCTTTACACTCACGTTGCTACTGAGAGGAGGGGAGCCTCCATCTTGCGCTATTACGCGGAACTGGAAATCTTTGATCTGCTCGTAGTCAAAAGAGCGCACTGCATGGATAACGCCGCTATCAGCACTGACAGATACGTAAGAGGAGATGGGCACTCCGTTAACCGACGAGTCCTCCAGTATGTAGGAGACTCGAGCATTCTGGTTCCAGTCTGCGTCTTTGGCTCTGACTGTGAATATGGAGAGACCTGGTGTGTTATTTTCTGGAATGGAGGCCTCATATGAGCTCCTCTCAAACACAGGAGCGTTATCATTCACATCTGATATCTGTAAGGAGAGAGTGACGCTGCTGGAGAGAGATGGAGACCCCTCATCAGCGCAGATCACACTGATATTATATCCAGACTCTCTCTCTCGGTCTAAATTGTTATCTGTGACTAAACTGAAGAAATTATTTGTGGTCGATTTCAGCGTGAATGGAACATTTGTGTTTAACGAACAATGGACTTTACCATTTTCACCAGAGTCTGGATCTTGAACGTTTATCATTGTTACAACAGTGTCTAACTTTGAGTCTTCAGATATGATATTAAGTTTACTCATTATATTTATAACTGGCGTGTTATCATTTACATCAATTAAATCTACAACGATTTTACACGAATCAGTTAAACCTCCATCATCAGTTGCCTGTATGTGAACTTGATAGTGATGAGCCTTTTCATAATCTAGATTTCCAGCAACTTTAACCTCACCGGTTAACTCATTTATTTCAAACAATTCAGGCATAGTGTCGTCAGTGCTTGTAATTGAATATATTATTTCACTATTAGAACCTTTGTCAGCATCCGTCGCACTTACTGTTGTAACAACGGTGCCTTTTGGTGAATTCTCTGTAATAGTGGTTTTATATACTTCTTGTGTGAAAACAGGTGAATTATCATTAGCATCTAAAACAATGATATTTATCTGCGCAGTGCCAGATAGACGCGGATCGCCTCCGTCTACTGCTATTAGTACGAGGGACAACTGCTCCTGCTTTTCACGATCAAGGGGCTTTTGAAGAATCATTTCAACCATTTTATTACCATCTGGCTGATTTTGCACTTTTAGTGAAAAATTATCCGTAGGGTTCAGAGAATAACTCTGAAGACCATTAACGCCAACATCCGGGTCCACGGCTCTTTCTAAAACAAATTTCGCTCCCGGTACAGCTGACTCACTAATTCTGAATTGCATTTCAGCCCTTTTGAACGAAGGAGAGTTGTCGTTTACATCCATAATCTCGACAGTGACACTATAAAACTCCATTGGATTCTCTAAAATGATCTGAAAATGTAGAGCACAAGGCGTTGTCTGTGCGCACAGCGCTTCTCGGTCTATTCTCTCTTTGATAAGGAGGACTCCCCTCTCTTTATTCAGCTCGATGTATTCAGCGCTGTCTCCAGTATAAATACGAGCTTTTCCTGATTTCAGTCTCTTTAAATCTAAACCTAAATCCTGCGCTATGTTACCGACTAAAGATCCTTTGGGCATTTCCTCGGGAATGGAGTAACTGACCTGTCCGCGCACTGAACTGAGAGAGACGAGACAAATAAACAGCAGTACTTGCCGCGCCATTGTTCTGTCCGACATTTTCCTCTGCGACACGAAAAAACAACAACAACAAAAAAAACAGTATAATCCAATCAGTAATGAGGACGTACGATACTCTTCCAAAAAACAAAAAAAAAATTACATGACAAAATACCTTTATATTTTCCAGCATAAAGAACAATAATGATATATATTTGAAGAGCTGATGTCGACCTTCTGCTCTATGCTCTCTGCTAATGTCTCTTTCTCCTCCTAACGCATTGAAATAAAGTGGGTGTTTCTGCTGTCAATCTCTGCAACACGTTGACCAACAGCGGCACTCTGAGTCCAATATACTGAACTACACAAATAAATTACCAAATGTGAAAACATAAGGAGTATCTTGAGAAATTCAGTACTATGAGAAGATAAAAATGAGAAACGTTGGCACCAAATGCATAGACTTTATAAGCATGTCGAGGGTTCGCCACGACTGGAAAACGAAAACATGCATACCGTGAAATAAATGAGCACTTCAGCACCTTGGACAGAGCAACAAACAAAAGAGAAATGGGACTACGTGTTGAACTTTCTACTAAACTGTGGTCATTTTCTCAAAACAAGATCTAAATACTGAAACGTGTAGAAGAAATAGCGATATTAAATTCAGAAACAACAGAAAACATCTTAACACTGAAGATTCAAAAGCTGATTTTTTAAAGAAACATGCTAATTTGAAAAAGTTAAGAAAATGCACTGATCGGTCGGAAACAAAAACAGCAATACTACTACTGCTAGCAATACTGCTACTAGTAAGTTTTCATGTAATTATTATTAAACCTAAAATATATGGAGATCTGAATAATGTGTCAGTCAAGCAGTAACAACTTAATAAAACTAGGTTTTAATAGGCTGTAAATACATCACGAAGTTTTTAACAAAAAACAGCACCTGATTATCAGAATCAGTATGGGTAAGTTTCTCCCTCTGCGCATGCGTGAGTGTTTGTGTTCCACTGGTGTCCAAGCTAATGATGCTCTCACTGGAAGGTCTGGCATATGTGAACTAAAAAAGTGTCTTTCATTTTAACGTGTAAGATAATGAATGTTTACGCACCAAACAACTGAACTGTCATATAGAAAATAGCACTGAATGTAAGCGGTACAAATGTGTGCATAACTAACAAAGTAATATATTTATGACATCAAATCTGTCTTCTAGTTTACGTCATTTTAGCACTAATTATGTTGATAGAAAATATATTGTTTAATGCGCCATTATTGCCGTTGTTACATATGATACACAACATGGTTCAGAATACAGTACATGAGAAAACTGCTCTTAGAACGAAGACCTGAGTTGAAATTTCAGCACCACGGACAGAGACATATAGCGTCTGGTATGCACATTCAGCGACTCTCAAATCTTAAACTCAGCACCCAACCAATATAATAATAATAATAATAATAATAATAATAATAATAATAATAATACAAAGTCTCACCTGATCATTAAAATCGTCGTGTATCAGTTTCTCCCTCTGCGCATGTGTGAGAGTCTGTGTTCCACTGGTATCAAGACTAATAATGCTATGAGTTGGTCTGATGTGCTTTAGATCACTCTTTCTGGAGTCAGTCGTTCTGCAGACCTCATAATTATACACATGCTGTAAAGTCCCCGTCCCTCCTACGTCTGCGTAAAGGGGTGGGTAATATGGAATAACTGGCAGATTGGCACCTGATTTATAAAACATCCGCTCTCGTCTCCATCTGTAGCATTTGACTGACAGTATGGCTATGATGGAGACGATAAAGAGAAATGAAACTACAGCCAAGGCCAAGACTAGATAGAAAGTCAGGTTGTCGTTGTAATCCTTGTCGTGCGTAAAGTCAGTGAACTCCGAGAGCACTTCAGGGAAACTGTCCGCCACCGCCACGTTAATATTGACCGTAGCTGAACGAGAGGGCTGCCCGTTGTCCTCCACTACAACAGTGAGCTTCTGCTTCACAGCATCTTTATCGGTCACTTGGCGCACAGTTCTTATTTCTCCATTCTGTGCGCCCACTTCAAACAGCGCCCTGTCTGTGGCTTTCTGCAGTTTATATGAGAGCCAGGCATTCTGTCCAGAGTCCACATCAACAGCCACCACTTTAGTCACAAGATAGCCCACATCTGCTGAGCGAGGCACCATTTCAGCCACCACAGAGCCTCCAGTCTGGACTGGGTACAGAACCTGAGGCGCGTTGTCGTTCTGGTCCTGAATGATGATCTTTACACTCACGTTGCTACTGAGAGGAGGGGAGCCTCCATCTTGCGCTATTACGCGGAACTGGAAATCTTTGATCTGCTCGTAGTCAAAAGAGCGCACTGCATGGATAACGCCGCTATCAGCACTGACAGATACGTAAGAGGAGATGGGCACTCCGTTAACCGACGAGTCCTCCAGTATGTAGGAGACTCGAGCATTCTGGTTCCAGTCTGCGTCTTTGGCTCTGACTGTGAATATGGAGAGACCTGGTGTGTTATTTTCTGGAATGGAGGCCTCATATGAGCTCCTCTCAAACACAGGAGCGTTATCATTCACATCTGATATCTGTAAGGAGAGAGTGACGCTGCTGGAGAGAGATGGAGACCCCTCATCAGCGCAGATCACACTGATATTATATCCAGACTCTCTCTCTCGGTCTAAATTGTTATCTGTGACTAAACTGAAGAAATTATTTGTGGTCGATTTCAGCGTGAATGGAACATTTGTGTTTAACGAACAATGGACTTTACCATTTTCACCAGAGTCTGGATCTTGAACGTTTATCATTGTTACAACAGTGTCTAACTTTGAGTCTTCAGATATGATATTAAGTTTACTCATTATATTTATAACTGGCGTGTTATCATTTACATCAATTAAATCTACAACGATTTTACACGAATCAGTTAAACCTCCATCATCAGTTGCCTGTATGTGAACTTGATAGTGATGAGCCTTTTCATAATCTAGATTTCCAGCAACTTTAACCTCACCGGTTAACTCATTTATTTCAAACAATTCAGGCATAGTGTCGTCAGTGCTTGTAATTGAATATATTATTTCACTATTAGAACCTTTGTCAGCATCCGTCGCACTTACTGTTGTAACAACGGTGCCTTTTGGTGAATTCTCTGTAATAGTGGTTTTATATACTTCTTGTGTGAAAACAGGTGAATTATCATTAGCATCTAAAACAATGATATTTATCTGCGCAGTGCCAGATAGACGCGGATCGCCTCCGTCTACTGCTATTAGTACGAGGGACAACTGCTCCTGCTTTTCACGATCAAGGGGCTTTTGAAGAATCATTTCAACCATTTTATTACCATCTGGCTGATTTTGCACTTTTAGTGAAAAATTATCCGTAGGGTTCAGAGAATAACTCTGAAGACCATTAACGCCAACATCCGGGTCCACGGCTCTTTCTAAAACAAATTTCGCTCCCGGTACAGCTGACTCACTAATTCTGAATTGCATTTCAGCCCTTTTGAACGAAGGAGAGTTGTCGTTTACATCCATAATCTCGACAGTGACACTATAAAACTCCATTGGATTCTCTAAAATGATCTGAAAATGTAGAGCACAAGGCGTTGTCTGTGCGCACAGCGCTTCTCGGTCTATTCTCTCTTTGATAAGGAGGACTCCCCTCTCTTTATTCAGCTCGATGTATTCAGCGCTGTCTCCAGTATAAATACGAGCTTTTCCTGATTTCAGTCTCTTTAAATCTAAACCTAAATCCTGCGCTATGTTACCGACTAAAGATCCTTTGGGCATTTCCTCGGGAATGGAGTAACTGACCTGTCCGCGCACTGAACTGAGAGAGACGAGACAAATAAACAGCAGTACTTGCCGCGCCATTGTTCTGTCCGACATTTTCCTCTGCGACACGAAAAAACAACAACAACAAAAAAACAGTATAATCCAATCAGTAATGAGGACGTACGATACTCTTCCAAAAAACAAAAAAAAAATTACATGACAAAATACCTTTATATTTTCCAGCATAAAGAACAATAATGATATATATTTGAAGAGCTGATGTCGACCTTCTGCTCTATGCTCTCTGCTAATGTCTCTTTCTCCTCCTAACGCATTGAAATAAAGTGGGTGTTTCTGCTGTCAATCTCTGCAACACGTTGACCAACAGCGGCACTCTGAGTCCAATATACTGAACTACACAAATAAATTACCAAATGTGAAAACATAAGGAGTATCTTGAGAAATTCAGTACTATGAGAAGATAAAAATGAGAAACGTTGGCACCAAATGCATAGACTTTATAAGCATGTCGAGGGTTCGCCACGACTGGAAAACGAAAACATGCATACCGTGAAATAAATGAGCACTTCAGCACCTTGGACAGAGCAACAAACAAAAGAGAAATGGGACTACGTGTTGAACTTTCTACTAAACTGTGGTCATTTTCTCAAAACAAGATCTAAATACTGAAACGTGTAGAAGAAATAGCGATATTAAATTCAGAAACAACAGAAAACATCTTAACACTGAAGATTCAAAAGCTGATTTTTTAAAGAAACATGCTAATTTGAAAAAGTTAAGAAAATGCACTGATCGGTCGGAAACAAAAACAGCAATACTACTACTGCTAGCAATACTGCTACTAGTAAGTTTTCATGTAATTATTATTAAACCTAAAATATATGGAGATCTGAATAATGTGTCAGTCAAGCAGTAACAACTTAATAAAACTAGGTTTTAATAGGCTGTAAATACATCACGAAGTTTTTAACAAAAAACAGCAATTAATATTATAAGACGCTCACCTGATTATCAGAATCAGTATGGGTAAGTTTCTCCCTCTGCGCATGCGTGAGTGTTTGTGTTCCACTGGTGTCCAAGCTAATGATGCTCTCACTGGAAGGTCTGGCATATGTGAACTAAAAAAGTGTCTTTCATTTTAACGTGTAAGATAATGAATGTTTACGCACCAAACAACTGAACTGTCATATAGAAAATAGCACTGAATGTAAGCGGTACAAATGTGTGCATAACTAACAAAGTAATATATTTATGACATCAAATCTGTCTTCTAGTTTACGTCATTTTAGCACTAATTATGTTGATAGAAAATATATTGTTTAATGCGCCATTATTGCCGTTGTTACATATGATACACAACATGGTTCAGAATACAGTACATGAGAAAACTGCTCTTAGAACGAAGACCTGAGTTGAAATTTCAGCACCACGGACAGAGACATATAGCGTCTGGTATGCACATTCAGCGACTCTCAAATCTTAAACTCAGCACCCAACCAATATAATAATAATAATAATATAATAATAATATAATAATACAAAGTCTCACCTGATCATTAAAATCGTCGTGTATCAGTTTCTCCCTCTGCGCATGTGTAGAGTCTGTGTTCCACTGGTATCAAGACTAATAATGCTATGAGTTGGTCTGATGTGCTTTAGATCACTCTTTCTGGAGTCAGTCGTTCTGCAGACCTCATAATTATACACATGCTGTAAAGTCCCCGTCCCTCCTACGTCTGCGTAAAGGGGTGGATAATATGGAATAACTGGCAGATTGGCACCTGATTTGTAAAACATCCGCTCACGTCTCCATCTGTAGCATTTGACTGACAGTATGGCTATGATGGAGACGATAAAGAGAAATGAAACTACAGCCAAGGCCAAGACTAGATAGAAAGTCAGGTTGTCGTTGTAATCCTTGTCGTGCGTAAGGTCAGTGAACTCCGAGAGCACTTCAGGGAAACTGTCCGCCACCGCCACGTTAATATTGACCGTAGCTGAACGAGAGGGCTGCCCGTTGTCCTCCACTACAACAGTGAGCTTCTGCTTCACAGCATCTTTATCGGTCACTTGGCGCACAGTTCTTATTTCTCCATTCTGTGCGCCCACTTCAAACAGCGCCCTGTCTGTGGCTTTCTGCAGTTTATATGAGAGCCAGGCATTCTGTCCAGAGTCCACATCAACAGCCACCACTTTAGTCACGAGATAGCCCACATCTGCTGAGCGAGGCACCATTTCAGCCACCACAGAGCCCCCAGTCTGGACTGGGTACAGAACCTGAGGCGCGTTGTCGTTCTGGTCCTGAATGATGATCTTCACACTCACATTGCTACTGAGAGGTGGGTTTCCTCCGTCCTGCGCTTTTACGCGGACATTAAACTCTTTTGTTTGCTCGTAATCAAAAGAGCGAACAGCCAGAATCTCTCCGCTCTCTGCATGAACTGAAATATAAGTGGAGGCTGAAACTCCGTTAACGAGAACATCCTCAAGAAAATATGAAATGCGCGCATTGTTACCAGAGTCTTTATCACTTGCTGTGACTGCAAATATAGACACTCCAGGTGTGTTATTTTCCATCACATAAGCGGTGTAAGACTGACGCTGGAACACAGGGGCGTTGTCATTGACATCAGATATTTTAAGCGTCAACGTTTTGTTCATAGATAAAGAGGGAGAGCCCTCATCAGTAGCTGTTATTGTAATATTATATTCAGAAACTTTCTCACGATCTAAACGGTGTTCAGTGACTAAACTGTAGAAATTAGAAGAAGATGATTTAATTTTGAATGGCAGGTTTGAATCTACTGTGCATTTAACGTGTCCATTTCTCTCTGAATCTACATCTTTGATGTTCAGCATAGCAATTATAGTCTCGGGAGGCGAATCTTCTGGAATTGGGTTCGAGAACGAAATAAGGCTTATTACTGGGTTATTGTCATTTACATCAGTTATTTCAATATTGACCTTACTAGTGTCAGTTAAGCCGCCCTTGTCTGTTGCTTCCACGTATAATTCGTACTTTTTTGTTTTCTCAAAATCTAAAGAACCACTCACTGAAATCGTTCCAGTACTACTATTAATATCGAACAGGTCTGATATGCTTTCACTACTTTGAGAAAATGAGTATGTTATGTCTCCATTTGTTCCCTGGTCCACGTCCGTAGCGCTAACGGTCAAAATTGCGGAGCCTTTCGCAATATTTTCTGGGATAGAAACTCTGTAAACCGCCTCACTGAAAACTGGAGCGTTGTCATTTACATCAAGAACAATAACGTTTATTTTTATTGTGCCTGTTTTTTGCGGACTGCCACCATCAAATGCCGTCAAAATCAGCTTGTGTTCGCTCTGCACCTCCCTGTCTAGAGGCTTCTGCAAAAGCATCTCAACAAATTTTGTATCATCAGACAGGGTAGGGATTTTAAGTACAAAGAAATCGGATGGGTGAAGCTTGTAAGTCTGCAGCGAATTTTGACCTACATCAGGATCTTTAGCACTGTCAAGCGACAAACGAGCTCCAGGCAGAGCTAATTCGCTTATTTGAAAATTGATCTCATTTTTCGCAAAAACAGGAGCATGATCATTAATATCTAATATTTCTACATCAATTCTGTGCAGCTCCATCGGGTTTTCTAGAATGATCTGGAAATGTAAGGAGCATGGAGTGACCTGGGCGCACAGCTCCTCTCTATCTATCCTCTCTGTCACTACCAGAGTCCCTCTATCCACATTTAGACCGATGTACTCACGACTGTCCTCCGTGAAGATCCGCGCTCGACCAGATTTCAGTCTTTTAACATCCAAACCGAGATCCTGAACGATATTTCCCACAACAGAGCCCTTATTCATCTCCTCAGGAATGGAGTAACGGACCTGCCCGCGCGCAACGGTCAGAACAAAGACAAGTAGAATGAGACGCTGCGTCAGCCATGGAGAAATCCAGACGGTGTAGCTGCTTCTCCGGCCTTCGAGAGAACAAAGAGCAGCCATTTTCCAACTACGACAGTCTTGTTTAGACGTTATAACTATGATTCAAGAACCGAACCGATTGAAAAACGAAAAATTATACCAGAATCCCAGTAAACCATTGCAGGAACCGCTTGAGCATTTGAGAAACAAAGCCAAATGAAATACTGCAATTCTACTTCGTGATGTCAGAAATAGAGGAGTGTCTAGTATATTCCTTTAAGCCCTCCACACGCTGTCCAACAGCGGCACTTAGAGCACTAAAGACATATTACAACCAAAATATAATCCAAGCAAATGCACTGTATTTCAATTTAGTTTCAGATTCAGGGCATATGATACAATGCAGTAAAGTTGTTTATGATAGAAATCAGCATAGTAACTGCGCTGCCACAAAATTTAGCAAAGACTTTTAAGTGTTAACAAAGCAATAAGGAGCCAGGGCTAATACGTGATTATTATAATTACCATTTACAGAAAAAGAAAAAGTGTGAGAATTATGTTTTAACCCATGAAACCCATTTTAATTAATCACAAGTGAATATTTCACAATGATCACATAAATGATATACTGTGCTGCTGTATCTCTATTAGGAAAATTACATTTTCCAGCTGCTAGAACTCACCTGGTTATCAGAATCGTCCCTTATATTCGGTTTTCCCCTCTGCGCATGCGTAAGCGTCTGTGTTCCACTAGAATCCAAACTAATGATGCTCTCACTGGAAGGTCTGGCATATTTCAGATCGCTCTTTCTGGAGTCAGTCGTTCTGCAGACCTCATAATTATACACATGCTGTAAAGTCCCCGTCCCTCCTACGTCTGCGTAAAGGGGTGGGTAATATGGAATAACTGGCAGATTGGCACCTGATTTATAAAACATCCGCTCACGTCTCCATCTGTAGCATTTGACTGACAGTATGGCTATGATGGAGACGATAAAGAGAAATGAAACTACAGCCAAGGCCAAGACTAGATAGAAAGTCAGGTTGTCGTTGTAATCCTTGTCGTGCGTAAAGTCAGTGAACTCCGAGAGCACTTCAGGGAAACTGTCCGCCACCGCCACGTTAATATTGACCGTAGCTGAACGAGAGGGCTGCCCGTTGTCCTCCACTACAACAGTGAGTTTCTGCTTCACAGCATCTTTATCGGTCACTTGGCGCACAGTTCTTATTTCTCCATTCTGTGCGCCCACTTCAAACAGCGCCCTGTCTGTGGCTTTCTGCAGTTTATATGAGAGCCAGGCATTCTGTCCAGAGTCCACATCAACAGCCACCACTTTAGTCACGAGATAGCCCACATCTGCTGAGCGAGGCACCATTTCAGCCACCACAGAGCCCCCAGTCTGGACTGGGTACAGAACCTGAGGCGCGTTGTCGTTCTGGTCCTGAATGATGATCTTCACACTCACATTGCTACTGAGAGGAGGGGAGCCTCCATCTTGCGCTATTACGCGGAACTGGAAATCTTTGATCTGCTCGTAGTCAAAAGAGCGCACTGCATGGATAACGCCGCTATCAGCACTGACAGATACGTAAGAGGAGACGGGCACTCCGTTAACCGACGAGTCCTCCAGTATGTAGGAGACTCGCGCATTCTGGTTCCAGTCTGCGTCTCTGGCTCTGACTGTGAATATGGAGAGACCTGGTGTGTTATTTTCTGGAATGGAGGCCTCATATGAGCTCCTCTCAAACACAGGAGCGTTATCATTCACATCTGATATCTGTAAGGAGAGAGTGACGCTGCTGGAGAGAGATGGAGATCCCTCATCAGCGCAGATCACACTGATATTATATGAACTTTCACTTTCTCGGTCTAAAAGACTATCAGTCACAATGCTGTAAAATCCTGAAG